TTGGGTATGTTTCGACTTTCTCGACCTATGTTTTGACTTTCTCGAACTATGTTTCGACTTTCTCGGAAAAAATTGGGTATGTTTCGACTTTGTTGACATATGTTTCGACTTTCTCGACCTATGTTTCGACTTTCTCTACCTGTTTCGACTTTCTCGGCCAAAATTGGGTATGTTTCGACTTTCTCCACCTATGTTTCGGCTTTCTCGACCTATGTTTTGACTGTCTCGGTCAAAATTGGGTATGTTTCGACATTCTCGACCTATGTTTCGACTTTCTCGACCTATGTTTTGACTTTCTCGACCCATGTTTTGACTTTCTCAACTTATGTTTCGACTTTCTCGGCCAAAAATGGGTATGTTTCCAATTTCTCGACCTATGTTTCGACTTTCTCGACCTATCTTTCGACCTTCTCGGTCAAAATTGGGTATGTTTCGACTTTCTCGACCTATGTTTTGACATTTTCGACCTATTTTTTGACTTTCTCGACCTATGTTTTGACTTTCTCGACCCATGTTTTGACTTTCTCGACTTATGTTTCGACTTTCTGGGCCAAAATTGGGTATGTTTCGACTTTCTCGACCTATGTTTCGACTTTCTCGACCTATCTTTCGACTTTCTCCGCCAAAATTGGGTATGTTTCGACTTTCTCGACCTATGTTTTGACTTTCTCGACATATGTTTTGACTTTCTCGGCCAAAATTGGGTATGTTTTGATTTTCTCGACCTATGTTTCGAATTTTTCAAACTATGTTTCGACTTTCTCGGCCAAAATTGGGTATTTTTTGACTTTTTCGACCTATTTTTCGACTTTCTCGACCTATGTTTTGACTTTCTTGACCCATATTTTGACTTTCTCGACTTATGTTTCGACTTTCTCGGCCAAAAATGGGTATGTTTCGACTTTCTTGACCTATGTTTCGACTTTCTCGACCTATCTTTCGACTTTCTCGGTCAAAATTGGGTTTTTTTCGTCTTTCTCGACCTATGTTTCGACTTTCTCGGCCAAAATTGGGTATTTTTCGACTTTCTCGACCTATGTTTTGACTTTCTCGAACTATGTTTTGACTTTATCGGAAAAAATTGGGTATGTTTCGACTTTCTTGATCTATGTTTCGACTTTCTCGACCTATGTTTTGACTTTCTCTACCTATGTTTCGACTTTCTCGGCCAAAATTGGGTATGTTTCGACTTTCTTGACATAATTTCTGACTTTATCGGCAAAAATTGGGTATGCTTCGACTTTCTCGACCTATGTTTTGACTTTTTCGACCTATTTTCGACTTTCTCGACCTATGTTTTGACTTTCTCGACCCATGTTTTGACTTTGTCGACTTATGTTTTGACTTTCTCGGCCAAAATTGGGCATGTTTCGACTTTCTCGACCTATGTTTCGACTTTCTCGACCTATCTTTCGACTTTCTCGGTCAAAATTGGGTATGTTTTGAATTTTTTGACCTATTTTTCGACTTTCTCGACCTATGTTTTGAATTTCTCGACCCATGTTTTGACTTTTTCGACTTATGTTTCGACTTTCTCGGCCAAAATTGGGTATTTTTCTACTTTCTCGACCTCTGTTTCGACTTTCTCGACCTATCTTTCGACTTTCTCGGTCAAAATTGGGTATTTTTCGTCTTTCTCCACCTATGTTTCGGCTTTCTCGACCTATGTTTTGACTGTCTCGGTCAAAATTGGGTATGTTTCGACATTCTCGACCTATGTTTTGACTTTTTCGACCTATTTTTCGACTTTCTCGACCTATGTTTCGACTTTCTCGACCTATGTTTTGACTTTCTCTACCTATGTTTCGACTTTCTCGGCCAAAATTGGGTATGTTTCGACTTTCTTGACATAATTTCTGACTTTATCGGCCAAAATTGGGTATGCTTCGACTTTCTCGACCTATGTTTTGACTTTTTCGACCTATTTTCGACTTTCTCGACCTATGTTTCGACTTTCTCGACCTATGTTTTGACTTTCTCTACCTATGTTTCGACTTTCTCGGCCAAAATTGGGTATGTTTCGACTTTCTTGACATAATTTCTGACTTTATCGGCCAAAATTGGGTATGCTTCGACTTTCTCGACCTATGTTTTGACTTTTTCGACCTATTTTCGACTTTCTCGACCTATGTTTTGACTTTCTCGACCCATGTTTTGACTTTGTCGACTTATGTTTTGACTTTCTCGGCCAAAATTGGGTATGTTTTGACTTTCTCGACCTAGGTTTCGACTTTTTCAAACTATGTTTCGACTTTCTCGGCCAAAATTGGGTATGTTTTGAATTTTTTGACCTATTTTTCGACTTTCTCGACCTATGTTTTGAATTTCTCGACCCATGTTTTGACTTTTTCGACTTATGTTTCGACTTTCTCGGCCAAAATTGGGTATTTTTCTACTTTCTCGACCTCTGTTTCGACTTTCTCGACCTATCTTTCGACTTTCTCGGTCAAAATTGGGTATTTTTTGTCTTTCTCGACCTATGTTTCGAATTTCTCGGCCAAAATTGGGTATGTTTCGACTTTCTCGACCTATGTTTTGACTTTCTCGAACTATGTTTCGACTTTCTCGGAAAAAATTGGGTATGTTTCGACTTTGTTGACATATGTTTCGACTTTCTCGACCTATGTTTCGACTTTCTCTACCTGTTTCGACTTTCTCGGCCAAAATTGGGTATGTTTCGACTTTCTCCACCTATGTTTCGGCTTTCTCGACCTATGTTTTGACTGTCTCGGTCAAAATTGGGTATGTTTCGACATTCTCGACCTATGTTTCGACTTTCTCGACCTATGTTTTGACTTTCTCGACCCATGTTTTGACTTTCTCAACTTATGTTTCGACTTTCTCGGCCAAAAATGGGTATGTTTCCAATTTCTCGACCTATGTTTCGACTTTCTCGACCTATCTTTCGACCTTCTCGGTCAAAATTGGGTATGTTTCGACTTTCTCGACCTATGTTTTGACATTTTCGACCTATTTTTTGACTTTCTCGACCTATGTTTTGACTTTCTCGACCCATGTTTTGACTTTCTCGACTTATGTTTCGACTTTCTGGGCCAAAATTGGGTATGTTTCGACTTTCTCGACCTATGTTTCGACTTTCTCGACCTATCTTTCGACTTTCTCCGCCAAAATTGGGTATGTTTCGACTTTCTCGACCTATGTTTCGACTTTCTCGACATATGTTTTGACTTTCTCGGCCAAAATTGGGTATGTTTTGATTTTCTCGACCTATGTTTCGAATTTTTCAAACTATGTTTCGACTTTCTCGGGCAAAATTGGGTATTTTTTGACTTTTTCGACCTATTTTTCGACTTTCTCGACCTATGTTTTGACTTTCTTGACCCATATTTTGACTTTCTCGACTTATGTTTCGACTTTCTCGGCCAAAAATGGGTATGTTTCGACTTTCTTGACCTATGTTTCGACTTTCTCGACCTATCTTTCGACTTTCTCGGTCAAAATTGGGTTTTTTTCGTCTTTCTCGACCTATGTTTCGACTTTCTCGGCCAAAATTGGGTATTTTTCGACTTTCTCGACCTATGTTTTGACTTTCTCGAACTATGTTTTGACTTTATCGGAAAAAATTGGGTATGTTTCGACTTTCTTGATCTATGTTTCGACTTTCTCGACCTATGTTTTGACTTTCTCTACCTATGTTTCGACTTTCTCGGCCAAAATTGGGTATGTTTCGACTTTCTTGACATAATTTCTGACTTTATCGGCCAAAATTGGGTATGCTTCGACTTTCTCGACCTATGTTTTGACTTTTTCGACCTATTTTCGACTTTCTCGACCTATGTTTTGACTTTCTCGACCCATGTTTTGACTTTGTCGACTTATGTTTTGACTTTCTCGGCCAAAATTGGGCATGTTTCGACTTTCTCGACCTATGTTTCGACTTTCTCGACCTATCATTCGACTTTCTCGGTCAAATTTGGGTATTTTTCGTCTTTCTCGACCTATGTTTCGACTTTCTCGGCCAAAATTGGGTATGTTTCGACTTTCTCGACCTATGTTTCGACTTTCTCGAACTATGTTTCGACTTTCTCGGAAAAAATTGGGTATGTTTCGACTTTCTTGACCTATGTTTCGACTTTCTCGACCTATGTTCCGACTTTCTCTACCTATGTTTCAACTTTCTCGGCTAAAATTGGGTATGTTTCGACTTTCTTGACATATGTTCTGACTTTATCGGCCAAAATTGGGTATGTTTCGACTTTCTCGACCTATGTTTTGACTTTCTCGACCTATGTTTTGACTTTCTCGGTCAAAATTGGGTATGTTTCGACTTTCTCGACCTATGTTTTGACTTTCTCGACCTATGTTTCGACTTTCTCGGCCAAAATTGGGTATGTTTCGACTTTCTCGACCTATGTTTCGACTTTATCGGCCAAAATTGGATATTTTTCGACTTTCTCGACCTATGTTTTGACTTTCTCGAACTATGTTTCGACTTTCTCGGCCAAAATTGGGTATATTTTGACTTTCTCGACCTATGTTTTGACTTTCTCGACCTATGTTTCGACTTTCTCGACCTATGTTTCGACTTTCTCGACCTATGTTTCGACTTTCTCGACCTATGTGTCGACTTTCTCGGTAAAAATTGGGTATGTTTCGATTTTCTCGACCTATATTTCGACTTTCTCGACCTATGTTTTTACTTTCACGGCCAAAATTGGGTATGTTTCGACTTTCTCGACCTATGTTTCGACTTTCTCGAACTATGTTTCGACTTTCTCTGCCAAAATTGGGTATTTTTCGACTTTCTCGACCTATGTTTTGACTTTCTCAACCTATATTTCGACTTTCTCGGCCAAAATTGGGTATGTTTCGACTCTTTTGACCAAAATTGGCTATCTTTCGACTTTGTGCTTGACTTAAAATTGTTTCTCGACCGCGGAACTTCAGTCGCAAAACTGCACGTGCTCAATTTTGAAAGTCGAAACATAAGTGGAGCACCTCGACCTGGGAGTGTTATCTTTATTTATACTCCTTTGCACCTCTTAAACGTGTCTAAAACAGTCTCCACTTTGCAGCTCACTCCGGGATAAGTTAGAATTTGAGTAATGAGTGCGAGGGGGTAGATGACGTCATCGTAGTTGAACGGACTACGCAGCATCTTCTGGGCCAGAGAGAGTGCGCCAGCTGTGAAGATGAGGTCCCGGTTCGTCTCACACTGGCATAGGGCAGCCAGAGTCTTGAAGTAGTTGCGAGCTGACATCAGAAAGTGACTCAAAACATGATCTAGCATTTCAAATTGAGTAAAATCCTAAATTGAAGTGGACAAAAATTTGCAATAACTCCATAGTTTTCACCTAAGTTTGCTAAAAAATCATTCACCTAAAAATCATCGGTGGTTGAAGATAGCTTTCATAAAGAGAAACTGTACTCTCACGAGAATACTTCCTTAATACATGGGGCACTGATTTTTCTGATGCAATCTGCAAGACTGAATCTTGCTGTTTTGTTCACCAACCTGGGAGTCTGACGCCGGTGGGAGTGGTGGCCTCGCACTCGTGGGGGGAGGAGGGGGAGGGGTTGTTGAGACAGTTGTCCACGTGTTGCATGAGGAAGTGGATGGAGCGAGGGGGTGCCCGCAACTGCTCAATCTCAAACGGTTGCGCCACTCTGAAACAACAAAATTGAATTGAAAATTCACTCGCACCCACTTTAACAGTTTCCTAAAAGTCCAGTTTCCTAAAATCCACTTTCTTAAAAGCCAGTTTCCTCTAAGTCCAGTTTCCTAAAGGAGAAAAGGTAACAATTTCCAAATGTTCAGCAATTGATGGGAAAAAATTTAGTGATTAGATCAGAGAAAACTTCGTTCAGCAGATCTCAACAGATTCAAATTATATTACTTTGGATGCTATTAACAAACAATAAGAAAGAGAGCCTGTTGCTGTGCACTTAGCACAGAATGTTCCGACAATATTCATAGAAAACTTAGAGGCCACTCTGAAACTATTTGTGTGAAAACGTTGGGCGTAACCGCTTGTGCAGTGGAGCTTCCCCTATTCCATTCTTCACACTGGAAGCAATATCTCAGATTCGGGAGGAAGATTTTTGAGATAGTCAAAAAATCTAAAAAAACAGTCAAAATTCGACTTTTCAGAGGATCATTACTTTTTGTGTACAAAAATTTGGCCTAACCGCTTCAGCAAGGGAGCTTTTTCAAAACCAGTTCTACCTATTCAAACCAAAATCTCAGTTTTATGAGGGTGAATTCCGAAAAAATCAAAGATTTAGAAAAAAAACAGTTAAAAAAACGAAAGTTCGACTTTTCTGAGGGCCATAACTTTTTGTGTAAAAAATTTGGGTGTAGCCGCTTCAACACGGGAGCTTCCCACAGCCTGATCTATTCGTTGAATCCGAAAGCTCAGATTTGGAAACGTAGTTTTTGAGAAAATGTGAAAAAATCCGAAAATTTGGGTAAAAAAACCCCCCACACACTTTTTTGAAAGCTGTAGAAAGTGGGGTAAGGTGAAAAGAGACTACAAGAGCGTGCAAGCAAACAGGGGAGTGGCTGGATTTCGCATTGATACCATCTTTTTGAAAATCGATCGTGTTGCTTATGAGAAAATCGAAAACTTTTTAAAGCGTCTTAAAAAAGTAAATAAATAAAAAACCCAATCCCATTAACATTTTCATGATACCTGCTCGTATCAAATGGGAACTAAAACTCTTTTTTTTTTCAATTTTGAGTCGTTTTTGTGTGTGATGCGATAAAAAAATAATACAAGTAAAAGTAAAAGTTCTAGACGCAAAAAAACGGCCTTGAGTCGCAAAAAAAAGCTTCGCTCAGCAAAATAACACTGTCTGGAATGTGCGGAGATAATACAAATGGACTATCCTCGACAGGACTGTTCAGGCCTACTGGTAGCTCCTCTGCGATTCGCAGGAACTACAATTACAAACTCGTATAAATCTAGTGAAGTAAGCATGTTCAACTATTGTTTTCTACAAAAAAAAAACGAAAAACTAAAAAAGATGAAAAAAAAACATCCAAAAATCTAACGGTTTCCATTTTTTCACAATTTTTAAAAATTGGATTTTTTTGTCACGGAGACGCAAATTGAAGCTTCCTCAACTCGTTTTTCTTCAGTAAAATCTGAAAGGGCTTTAATACGATATATCACTCCTATTTCGATTGTTATTTGCGGTACCTGATCTTGTGAGAAGAAAAAAACTACAACACACCCAAATACAAAGTTTAACTCCATTTTAAATAGTCGGAACAAAAACCCTATGCTTTATTCAATGCACTTTTGATCTCCGTGATTATTAAATGATCGCTCTAAGTAGTGAACAAATTCTTCACCAGAAGTCTTTAGAAATTTGAGTATGGTTCCGGAACAACTATTACTACATTACCACTCGGTTACAATCCGTGACAGTTGACCGTATCTGTGACAACGGAAATTCTAGTTTCCAAAAAACAGGTTCCGACTAGAGTCGAGCTTCCGGGATTTGTCGTAACAAGCATTAGTGTTACCACTGCACCAAGTCACATAAAACTTTACCAGTAGCGACCGCTTCATCAGCTATGCATACATTCGATACGAGTGGTATATTGCGCGTAAATCAGTGTGCGTCGCTGAATCTCTGTTACGAATTGCCCTTGTAATTGCTACCTTGTATAATAAGCAAGGAGTGGAAAAAATTTTTTTTTAAAGTTTTTTTCCGCCCATACTTTAACAAAAAAGTGAGCAAAAACATATCGTTTGCCTAGTTTTAACTTTTTTTGAGGCACAAAGAAAAAATTTATTAAGTATTTTTCACGACCAAAGTTTTTTTCTTCCGTTCACTGACAATCAATCATGAATCACCCACCGTATGACGAGATCTAGAGCTGCCGCGTGTATCTCATGACTGAGTGTGTCTGTGTCCAAGAGGGAGTTGAGTACCGAGATGCCACAACCTTCTCTTACTGCATTGGTGGTCCTCTGCTCATAGTCCATGTGGCAGTTGATCACCACTGACAGTCCAATACGGATGAGCTAAGTCAGAGAAAAAAACTCTCGCTTAATTTCGAAAAACTTAAAAAGTCTGAATAGTTTCAACCAAGATTTAATCGGCTTCTATGCAAGAATCACAATTAACTTTTCCAAAAAAGACAAACACTATTAGATTTTTTTGAAGTTTTGCTCTTGTTTTTTTGTTGCTTTAAACACTAAATTTGTTAAAAACGTCTTTGTTTCAAACGCTTGATTTAAAGAACGCGATGAGAGCCTACAAAGAACGACAGAAAAGCAAAAATAGTCTGACACAGGGAAACATTTTCGGGCACCGCGGAAAAAAAGTGTCAAACATAAATATATTCATCAAAAAAGAATTGATAAACACAGCATGCCACTCAAACAAAATCAAGCAAAATTTTGAACAAATCTACCGTAAAAACAAAAAATGTCAGGAAAAAATGAAAATTTCAAGTTTTTTGGTTTAAAAAGCGTCGGAGAAGTTAATTTTAAGCTTATGAACATAAATTGTCGAGTTTGAGTGTATTTCAAAATAATTTTCATTTAATGTATTTCAATTTACTAAATCTATTAGAAAAAAAAACATCAGGTAAATAAGCCAGCATCCTTAAGACTGACACTCAATGAACAGGCCATAGTAAGAACAAAATGAATTCCGGGAAAGAAGTTAATTGCCCGGTCGCCATATCCTGGTATTACGAGGATAAAAAAGTTCAACACAGAGGTTTAGCTTCTCATCGCAAACACTAGCGAGAATACGACAAAAAGCAGCTCTATAGTGCAGCAAGAAAAAGTGGACATAAGCCTCAAATTAGTAAAAGTCCGCTACGTCTCGGATTAGATTTTCAACCTAGAGATTATGAGTGTCTTGCACTAACCACTCAGCCGCGAAAGCTTAATAAATCTCATAAACTAGCCACGAATAAAACAGGGAACAGATGAATTTTCCAATGCTACAGATTGTGATTGTAGCGAAAGTACCGCCAAATAAGTGAACACTTTTAAGGAACGCTTTTTTTTGCAAGTTAGGTTATTAAAAATATCCTCGTTCTAATACAGTTCTATCGCAACCTCGAGGTGTGTAAAATAAAAAAAAAGACCAGAGTTTGTTCAACTTTTGTTACAATTTTTCCTTTCACACACAAAGTGATATGCTTCTCATCTATTAACTCAATAATTAGCCATAGTAGTTTGCCTCAGCCTCATTTGGAATAAAATCGGAGCCGGATTAAAGTCCCGCTTACGCGTGATTTGAACGAACACAATATACCGCGCTTCAATTGCTCAAATTGTAAAAATTTCAAACTGCCTGGCTTTCAGAAAAAAAAATTAAAGAAAAACAGTTTTTTTGCTAATTTTAGCTAAGAGCATTGATATCTTCTATATGCTTTTGATAAACTGTTAACATCAAATCGGCTAGTTATAAAAAATATATATATCTGAAAAAAATCAAACCGAGCCCAAATACTGAAGTATATGCATTTTTTTTTCAAAAATTCAAAGCAATTGAACTTTCCTGTTTGAAGGTGATGCAATTTAGCATTGATTCACATGCATATACTACAACAAAAGCAAATACAGCAGCTGAAAACTAAAATAACCGGCTCAGATGAAGTAAAAAAGATTCGTAGAAGAAAATTCACTTGTTTGTTTGTGAAGTAAGCACAGAGGCTTGTATACATAACTGAATTTAGAGATAAAAGATAAATCAACCAATTTCTACTCTTTTTTCAGCAGTTTTCTTTTTAAATAATATTATTGTGGAGCATTAAAACTGCTGCAAACTTTGAATTGTAATTTGATTGCGCTTCGTACTAAATAACCTGCTAGACAGCTATTCATAAATTAGCTGCAAAGCTGATTTTGAAACAATTATACCTATTTTTGATTAAAAACTAAGATTTAACGGGTGGGTATTCACATGTTCCAAAATCATAAATCAGTCTCATTTGAACCAAAATAAAAAAAATCAATCGCGTTAGTACCAAAAAAATTCAATGGGCCAAAGACTACTAAGCCGACTATTTTAAGCTCTTGGTTTAAGGTCATCGGCGGGCGCGCTACGCCATATTGCGGCGATAACTGGCTCTACTTTTCGTATGAAGTCACAACCTCTGTTGGCAAGCTCGCAACACGTTGGCACGACTGCGGCGGTCACTATTCTACTGTTTAGTTTTCTTCTGTTTCAACGGTAAGAAATTAGTGTTATAATTTGTTGGCTCACACTTCGACCAATCAGAAATCGAATTGATATAATTTTGGTACAAACGGGACCGGTTTTTCAATTTGGTACAAATGGGACTTCACCGATTTAACGAATAACTGGTTTTCCCATCATTAGCACTTAAATATATAGAAGAAATGTTGAATCACGTTGAGCTCAGTAAATTCCAAGAATACTTGATGATCATGATTTTTTTAAAAAAAACTAGCCCTATGAAATGGGATCAAAAATAATTTTTATATTCCACTGAAAACTCTCAAAAACCGTTATCTCTGAAAACCCGTTACAATGAGCGTCATCAACTTATATGACTTTTCCCTCAACAAATTCCTCATAACTATGACTTTTCCTTTAAGAAAATCATTACACAGAGGCGAGAACACGACAAAAAGCAGCTTCATAAAATGCAATAAAAAATTAGAAATAAGCCATGAATTTCTAACAAAAATTCAGCAACCTCTGAGTTTCAAACCTACGATCTAGGTTAAAATCTCAGTGATTATGAAACTCAAACATCAACCACTCAGGCGAGGAAGCTTAATAGTTACTAAACGCTAGCCACAAAAGAAGCAGAGAACAGACGCCATGCACTTTCCAAGGCTACATAGAAATTTCCAAATAAGTTTAACACTTTTACTTGCGAGTTATGTTAGAAAAAAAGAAGGTTGGTAATAAAACACTAAGCTGATTGCAAGTTTGAAAATATACAAATGTTTTCACTACATTCATTGATATTTTAAAACTTTGATCATCTAAGCAGCAAACAAAATGCGAGCCGAACAACTCATTGTTCTTTGTATTTCAAAATGACTACATATTAAGTTTTCATAAATAAACTAAATTTCAATTCACTTAGCTCGGCAAATTAACAAATTGTTAACAAAAGAGCATTAAAAACATTGAAAAAACTTATGAAACAGATCAAAAAACACTTAAAACAGAATATTAATGTTGAATATTTGATTCAAGTTTCATGTTCCTGATTTCGAGTTGTGTTTATTGACAAGACAAGTTCGATTTGAGACAACCAGTTCAGTGAGTATTTTTATTCAGCTGGTCAACCTGAAAATGAGATCAAGTTTTGAAACTAATTTTAAATCTGGATATTTCGGGTCAATTCGACTTTTGTTTTTGCATAGAGTAACCTGATATCCACTGAGTTTGAAAAACTGATTACGAAAAACGACCTTTTTATTAAAATGAGAAGTCAAAAAAACAGTTCGAACAATTTGAAGAAGATTCTTTAATTATTACAAAGGCCTAAATCTGTTGACTATGCCCCTTAACCTCAAAAAAAAACCTTTAACTTCGATTTTTTTTTCATTTTCATTTTCTAATTTTATGACTTTCAATTACCTCAACAAACCAACTGATCCAACTGATTCTTAGAATGAATTGAAGTTGTGGGTTAAATTGTTTTTCGTCTGAATTATTAAGCGCAATTATAGAATGCTAACTAGCACACTTGTTAATCGCTACACCACGCCATAGAAGATTATGACAAGCATTTTCTATGGAATCCAATTACACATTAATTTTATTTAAACTCACCCTGGTAATGATAGCAATTGATTTTTCCTTCTGATCCTCGTTTACGTCGCTGATGTTCTCGGTGGTCTTTTTGGCCATAGTGTTTAACATATTAAAGTGGGAGTCCAACAGGTCTCTGTAGTTCAATAAACCATACACATAAATATTTTCACAACTCCTAACAACACTACTTTAGAGGGTGCGTTGACATTCTATTTATATTATTATTTTTATTATTGATGGAAAATGAATTTGGTAGAGTTTAAGAGATACCAGAAAATGGACAAATTAATGTTGGTAATTGCAATTCATCACTGAGAGTTTAGAAAATTTTTACACCAACAGTGAGTTGAATAACAAAGTTTTCGTCCCTTCAACGCCACGGATACGACTCACTGATCACCTTTTGGAACTATTTTTTGACATCCATTTTTGAGTTGCCGACCAACCCTAAAACTCACCAAGGTGATCGCCTTTGGCACCAAGATACATATACTGGAGGGGCAGCGCGCGCCGAAAAAAATAAGTCAATAGATTCCAAACAAAATTCCCAAAAATGCCCTTGAACATCCTTTTTGCTAGTTTGATTTAATTCACTGTGGTGTAAGAAACTTTGGCAAAATATTGTTTTTGTAGCTTAGAGAGGGAGAGGGAGAGAGAGAGAGAGAGAGAGAGAGAGAGAGATAGAGAGAGAGAGGAGAGAGAGAGAAAGAGAGGAGGGAGAGAGAGAGAGAGAGAAAGAGAGAGTGAGAGAGAGGGAGAGAGAGCTAGTAGTTTCATTAATCTCATTTATTTCATGAACTCAAAAAAATCATGAAAGAATTGCTTATGCGACGGCCAGTAAATGTAACCTTAACAGAATCTTGATTTTCCAGAAACGTATTTGACGAATTTTTTTCAAAAAAAAAGAATGGATCATGTCTTCAATTTTTTTATACAAACAAAGTAGACACGGTTTACGAACTTCCCTTTTTGCATTATTCAAGTAATCTACTTTACAGCAGTGAAATATGTCACCAAATGTAACTCTTGTTAAGTGTTGCGAAACCAATCCAAGTTTTTATAAGGAGTAGGGCAAAAAATTACTTCAGCATTTAAAACATCGGAAAAAAAATAATGAGTAAGTCTTTTACTAGCACAAAAAAAACGATGTCTCAATTTTTTTTTACTAAAAAATGATCTTTTGTCAGAAAAATACCAAAGTTTTTCTAAAAAATTAAACTTTAGTGTTGGTTGATAAAATGAAAAGAGTCTAATTCACAGATAACAAAGTTTTAATGGATCTTTTTTACAGATCATTTTACCCTCGAACTGGGTATTTATTTTTTACTGCTTTAAGATTTTTCGAGGTTGCTCATTGCAAGTTAGTAGGGTTATGAGCGTCCTTGGTGTTTGATTATGTACACGCACTATTTGAGAATTGCATTTCGAATCCCATAAACCAAATCAAACTCTGGTCGACAAATTCCCCCAGAGAAAATCTTAGATCCATACATCCCTGCCTAGGATTCTAATTGACCGTTGGAGAATTGGTATTGGTATAGATGGGCATACATATTGCATGGTCAATTTGTGTGTGTGTATGATAGATATGATGCCTGTTGTCGGGCTGGAGGAGGTCGAGAGTGAAGGAAGTCTCGTTGGTGCCATCCCATACCACTTCCACAACACTCTGCACACACTTCACACTCACATGCTCCTCACTGTAAGAGAACAGAAGGGAAATAAGAGAGGAAAAACTGGATATCGTGAACTAATCTACAACCTTGAAATTTTTTCCACATCTCTAAAAGGCTAACTTAAAGGCATATACGATTTTGTGCTTTGTAACGAAGGGAGGGGAATACCTAATGATCCGAAAAAAATATAGTAGACGGAAACTAGCGTTTTTGCAATTACTATTGATTGAGAGAAATAGTCAACTAAACAGAAAATGAGTAGCCGCAAAAATTACCCCTCGATAAAAACTTGTAAGATTTAGCATCAAACTTCAGCGCGATTAGACTTCAACTACAACCATAGCAAGCCGATAAGGAAAATCCCCGATAACATTCATTAAAAAAACTTCAATCGTACATCAGCTTGTTGTACCTGTAGTCATGCGCCTCAGAGTAGGTGTAGAATTGTCGACAGTAGTTCTTGAGGAACCCAGTCTGAACCAGGAGTTCCGTGTGGTCCTTCCTGAACCCCAGACACTTGCACGTCAGCATGATCCTGTTCAGTCTCTCGGCTGCCAGTGCCATTGTCTCCTCACAAGTGAACATTTCCAGACACCTCTCACGAGCGTCCTGAAGAAGCAAAACGAAAAGGTTCCAATGGCTACATGATTCAAGCTATTTTTTTTGTTGTTTTTCCTTTTCATCTGAAATTCGGTAGCAGTCAGATATCGTTTTGTCGAACTTGGACTTTCCTCCGCTCATTGGAACTCAACAATTCAACTCATCTCCAAAACTTCTCTCGTTCATGACTAATTAATGGCAATAATTTTGGCTGCTCACTCAAATTCTTTTGAAAAATCCTAATTTTGAAAAATCAGGCCTTGAATGTAAACTAAATTTGAGAGGCAGGGTATACGGTCTAAATATAATTGAATACTTTTCCAATTATGCAAAATAACTGATTTTAGTAGCAAACTGACAAAAATGGGTGAAACAAAAAAATTTCAGAAATTTGTCTGGAATGATGTTCAATTTGAAAACACAATAAATGGCTGGTTTAATAACTGTTCAGACACAAAAACTGATCGGCAACTAAGCCGGACAAATTATTTAGACTCCCGTTGAGCAAAACTGTTTTCAATTGAAAAACTTTTGAAAGTTCCGAAAATCTAAACCTTTACGCTCCCCCTACGGAAACACAAAAGCGTAAAAATCTATTGTTCCTATAAAACAACGCTTAGCTAGGTCACGTACTCGAAAAGACATTAGCAACAACAAACCAGCGGAAAAAAAACGAACAAAATTACAAACTTAGTAAGTTTACAAATTACAGTAGCAAATCAAAACTCTTTCAGTTAAATAAAAATTACTGAAAGCCCAGCAAAAAACCGTAACAAGGCAACTAAACCGACCAAACATAAGCAGACACACAGCAAGTCGGCATTTTTTTTTAAACATATTATTTTTCTTTCGAATAGAAAAAGTTCTGGCCTGGTTCGAACACAGGACCTTTACCACCTCAGGTGTTGTATTTTTCTCAAAAACCATGTGTGCCTGAAAAACTAATAAAGTTCGATTTTGATGTAAGCCAAGCTATCATATGCTTTTTCAGTAAATTAAAAAAAAGAAAATTCCGTGATGCCGCAACTAAGCCAACAAAACATAATCAGACTAACGGTAGTCGGAAAATTTTTTCGAAACGGAGTTTTTTGTCTTCGAAAACTTAAAACATTACTTCTTAAAAGAACTGTAAGTAGTGGCAGTAAACCGGTAGAACTTAAATTTGCCCGTTTGCACGTGAATGAAATCTATTGATTCAAGTGATTTTGTTAACAATTTTTTAACCCGAAAAAAAGTCTATACTCCAGTTTGATAATATTTGTTTATCACATGCGTATTAAACTACTGGAAACTTAATATGACGATGATAATGATAATGGGGAAGATATGTGGTTGCCTGAAATAGAAAGAAGTTAGCGGAGAGTATCTCTCGGTCGAAGCACTTGAGGAGTAAGAGAGTGGTGTCCCTGACTGGCTTCCACTTGGACATGGCCACTGTCTCCACTAACACCCTCAGACCTTTCCCGCCCAAGAAGCCAGTGATCAGCAACTTCTCATTACTCGCACTGATCTGAACAAATGGATTAATTAGAAAGCTAAAAAAATGTTATAACGCCCCTTAATTGCAATGATTCACTAACTGGCTTAAAAATAGGCTTAAGCATATAAAAGTACTTGACAATTTTAAATTTACAATTTTATAAGTTTTACAGAGCAATGAAATCTATTTTCATGTGGATAGATTCCTTATTAGGCACCAAAAAGGACAGAATTGTTAAGAAATCTGAAAGTCAAAAACTTTGAGGCTAGCAAAGTAACAACTCAAATTTTAAATGCTATAATGCTAGGCTTGGTAAAAGACAATCAAGATGTTAAGTTCGTCATCTTTTTATCTTCGCCTCTATAGTTTTGAAAGTCTTTTTAAAATAAAAAATTGAAATTAAGCTACCTGTAAGATCATTGCTGCATGCTGGGCTAAGTTTTCTATTTCATCGCCTCCCAAATGGGCCTCCAATTTTGGATCTAGGTGATGGGACAGAATGGACAGACAGGTAGTGAACAGTTCCTCGTACTGGTCAAAGATAGTTTGCAGCAGGCTCCTGAACATTTCAGAAATTCAACTCATCAATGTTGTAATTCAATCCAAACGAGGTGTCATTTAAAATTCATTCTATTAGATTTTTTTGGCTATGAGAAATTCGTAAAAACTTCTTGGATTCCGTTTTCAAAAAATGCGATTATTTTAGCAGGTAGACTACAGATGATACTTTGAGGTAATGAAACAAAAGGAGCAGCCCCTTTACGTATACGAGAAGGGAAAACAGACAAAAATCCACATAGAAAATATTGTCTGATTTTCAAACAGAAAGAACAAAAAACAAAATGAGCATAATTTATGGCCCGAGCACCGACACTGTTTCTATATATTTTAAAAAGCGCTCGATTGGCTGAACTCACTGTATAAGCTGACACAAGACTGACTTAGAAATATTTCAAATCGGGAATCCTTCAAAATTGCTGCTCTTTAAGAAAGGTCAATTATGAAGAAAACTTAGTTAATTTGTTACTTAGTTTAAACTTAGTTAATTTTTACTTAATTTTTTTTTAGAAAACTTATTTAATTTCTCACTTCAGGCATTTGTATTTATCGGAAGGTTAACCAAATATGGTAGAGATGATGCTTTAGAAAACAAACATTATGTATTCTCCTAAGTATTACTCAATTGTTTTTGAGAAGAAAAATTAGAAGATAGAGTTATAATCATCTTCAATTCCGAAATAAGTGTTCAAGCGTTAGACGAAATTAGCCTCAAACAAAAAATCAAAGAGCGCAATCATAAAAAAGAAAGAATTTTTTTAAGACGTTCAGTCCATTTCAGCCATAGTTTCATTGTTTCAGCCAGTCTTCAAGGACCAAGAAGACAGTAATACATCGGGTACATGTATGTATCGGATACAAATATTATCAAATTCAGACACTTAACTGTTCAAGAGTTGAAAGTTTTTGGTGATGAAATCTTCTTGAACCTAACCCTGACTGAAAATATGGAAAGTGTGGATAAAAAAGCAGATACATTTTTTGGAGTAATCGAAATCATCATAAATATTTTTTTTTGTGTTCTTAAAAACAAAAGTAATATACAAGGATACAGGGGCGGATTTAGGTGGGAGGGGCGGACGCCCCTCTTTCCTTAGGGATTTGACCCTCTGCCGACCCAAAGGGTCCCCCCTTTGTAATATTTTGAGATATCCGTTTTCGGTGACGGACCCTAAAGTTTTTCTAAAGGCGCCAATATATACAAATTTTGAGAGGGGAGCGCGTGCCGATTTTTTGGTCAAAATTTTCCAAAAGTTGCCTAAAAACGCCTTTTATGGCCCGTTTTTTCAAAATTTTGCATGCGGCGCAGAAAATTTGGCGAAAATGGGGTCTTTAGAATGATATAGGAGAGCTCAGAAAATCAATTTGGTCGACCTAAAAAAAAGATCGACAAAATTTTCGAATTTTTTTTGAAAATCCGCCCCCTCCCCTCGAGAAAATCCTAGATCCGCCCCTGCAAGGATAGCCGTTTACTGCGCAAGTTGCATAGACTGTTCTGACCGTAGTCTTAAAAAAACAACAAGTTTTTTTCAAATTAACGTCTTTTTTTTGGTTCGGCGTGGTGCGATAAAAAGATCTGAACAAAAAAACTGGGGATTAGGTATACTCGACAGTCATAGTAAAAGAAGCAAATTGAAAAACGAAATTACTAGAAAAACGAAAAAAAAATCAAAAAAAAAGTTAGAAAATTTTATCATGTTTGGCAGTTTTTGAATGTTTGAAAATGTTGATTAAAAAAAAGCGCTAAAATTCTTACAGTAAGCTAACGTTACTCCAGCCGATTTCAGGGGAAGGAGGGTATTCATGAAACTTTTCCGACGCCAAACATTCGCTGAAACTTCTATATTTGATTTTAAAAATGCGAACTTTTAGATATCATAATAAAGTTTTGAGCCAAAATCGCCAACAACTTGAAAAAAGACCATTAAACAGCTGTCATTTTTGTTTGTAACCGAAGCAGCAGGCTTCTCACAAATCACGGAAGGTTGCCTTAAATCGCCGCCACTTAAGACTTTTAGTTTAAGCAAAAGTTACGACGCATTGATGTTACGGTGTGAGCTCTAGCGAATATGTTAAAAGCTGCTTTTTGCTACTTCCTTTTTTAAAAAATATTAATGAAAACTCCAAGATTTAGGTCAAAATTTTTCGGAGCATTTCCAAGAGTATAAGTGCATAGACGTCAACTTTGAATCCCTCTGAGGGCTATAAACAACTGAACTGAACTAAATTCAACTTAACTGAATTTTCCCCGGAACTTTGGGACTTAAAAACCTCGTCAATTGAATTGCCCTGGCCCTATTTTTCAGGCGAAGCAAAAATACCAGACCAAATAAAGCTGAAAATGAAACGATTTTATAATGATTAGGACAGCTCGGATTCTGATTTTTTTCCTCTCGCATGGGTTTACTAAACCGTTTGAAATTATCATAGAACAAGCCATAAAAATTTCTATTTGATTTGCGAGCCACTGACGTTTTAGCAGTGTGCAAATGTCTGTCTTCTCTTCTGAGGGGACTCTTGAGGAGTTGCAGCAACAGGTGAGTCACTGAGATCAGACACTGAGCACTCAAGCATGTGGATGATGATTCTGTCTCATGTTTGGAATCACCACTACAACTGTTTTCTTCGGGAGTAGGCGAATGCTTCATGAACACGCTGAAAGGTCAACTCTCCGTCAAAGTTAGTAGTAAACAACCTAGTTTTGAGTTTTAAATAAAACAGCTTAGATTTTAATTTCGCATTTACGCTTCAAAAATTGCACACAGAGACGAAGTGGAGCTTCGCAACACTTGCGATGCAAAACAACAACACATTGAGCTACAACATAATGAATAAAAAAGACAGGGGTCAAAAATACTTCTGAAAAATTATGTTGAAAAAAATTACTTGACAAAAGTTGACAAATTACAGCTACAAAAGCATCATATTTGTATGGAATGAATTTCATAAGCAGGCCTGAATAAATGAAAATTTTTTACCGAGCGGCAACAAGGGAGACAAACTTGGGTCGAAACCTGTTGAGCCGAAAACAAAACTGTTGTCATAAAAAAGTTCAAAATTTAAAAGTTTTACGACCCCTTTGAAATGACACACATAATACCAAACACATAATCTCTTGAAATTGCGCAAAACAAAGTGACTAAGTCGATACAAAATAAACTGAAACTGTTTGAATACTAAAGGCCAGCTAAAACTGGAAATACCTGTTTGATAATTTTTGAACTTTTTACACTGATGCGGAGGGACAAATTTGATTTTTTCGAGGGTCATAACTTCTTGTGTAAAATTGTTTTTGACATAACCACTTATGCAGCGGAGCTTCCCACAACTCGTTCTACTCATTGAAACCAAAACCTCAGATTTGGGTAGGTAGTGTTCGAGAAAAAAAAACAAAAAGTTTCAAAAACCGGTCAATTAAAAATTTGACTTTTCCGAGGGTCGTAACTTTTTGTGTAAATAAATGTAGGCGTGATTGCTTCTGCGGGGAAGTTCTCCAGAAAACGTCTTTTCGATTGAAACCCAAAATTTAACAATTGAAAGGATATTTTTTGAGAAAAACTAAAATTTTTCAAAAAACGGTAAAAATAATGGAACATTTGATTTTTCGGAGGGTCAAAACTATGGGTCAATAAGCAGCGGAACTTCCCACAATCCGCTCTACTTATTGAAACCAAAACCTCAGATTTGGATGGGCAGCTTTTGAGAAAAATCGAAAAGTTTCAAAAACGGTCAAAAAATCGAAAAATTGACTTAATGGCCATACATTTTTGTGTAAAAAATATTGGGCGAAGCCGCTTATGCAGGAAATTTTCCCACAATTTGTTATATCCATTGAAACAAAAGCTCAGATTTGAGAGGGTGGTTTTCAAGAAAAAGTAAATAACCAAACATATGGGTCAAAAATTCCCCCAGACACTTTCTCGAAGGCTGAAGGTAAAACTTGAAAGTGGCGTAAGGTAAAAAGATACTAGGTGACTATGCAGACACACAAAGGAGTGGGCGGATTTCCCATTGGTACTATCTTTTTTGTTTTTGGGAAAGAGTGAAAAAGGTGAAAAATTTTTCCAAAGCAAAAAATCATAATTCATTTCTCAAAAAAAAAACTAAATCAGACATAGCAAATTTAAAATTTTTAGAAACTTCAGCTATAGTAAAAATTGTTTAAGTTAGAACAAAACCCATGCTTTAAAAAGTAAGCCAATAAAAACCCCACCAGGGAAAAAATGGCATTTAAAAAAAGAAAATGAACCGACAGAAATTAAGACGAAAACCACAAACACGAAAAAAAGTCGCAAGGGTAATAACAAGAGTAACATTACGACGAAAAATATTCCTGGCAATGATTGGACCAATTTGCACACCTCGAAATATGAAGCTCATGTTGTCGAAACGAAACAAGAACCCCAAACTGAAGGGTTGAAAACTAGAGAAGCTGAAAAGTTAGAGCTTTTACCATTGAAACGTTTTTTGTGACTTTTATGTGGACTTTATGTATTATCTTTTTTGGTCTGCTGGAATATTCATTGTACTTACTGAAATATCAGTCGGTTCGATTGATTTTTTATGGAAAGTGAAACATGAAAGTGTTACTAGTTAGACTGAATCGTAGTTAATACTGAAACAACCGAAGTAATATTTCCGAAGCAGTTAAATGCTTGAGGTAAGAGGAGACTAGCTTGTGTTTGTTGGCGTCGCAGATGCTGAGGAGGAGGTCGAACAGCCCAGACTCAAACAATGTGGCCTTCACCTCCCCCATCGTCATCAGGTGGAACTCAGTAGAGTGCATGAAACTCTCTTCTATCAAACAAAAAATCGCTTAATTTGTTATGAAGACATGATTTGATTGAAAAGTTGCGCAGATTTTGTCTTACGACAGATGTACCGGTACAAGGCCTCGAGCAACTAATTGAATAAATGTAACTAAATCTGCTGGTACAATATAAATGATGTGGTGGCCAGTCAATAAGCAGAATGGTCTAAGAGCAGAATGGGTCCAAGAGCAGAAAAACAGAAAAATATCAACTTTTATAAGCTAATCGGCGAATTAATTATCAGAAATGTCAACAATACCAATGCAACGAACATTTTATGCACAATTTGAGTAATTTAATCTAGAATTAAAATAAAAATTAATCAAAAAACTTAATGAAATTAGACAATTCATGCATAATTTATTCGTTTTCTTGGTATTTTTTGACGATTCTAATAATTGTTTTTATCAAATAGCCCGTATAAAGCAATATAAGTCAAAATTTTTCTGTGTTTCTGCTCTTAGACCCATTTTGCACTTGGACCATTCTGCTTATTGCTCCGCCTCCAAATGATGTGATAGGACAAAACTAATTAGTGGGTGGCTATTCGATCGACAGAAGGACAGAAAAGTGTCAACCAATCAGAATCGTCTAAAACCATAACAAGCTCCTATTCGCTGAATCGTTTGTCCTATGAAACGACGAATGCAAAATTAACGGAATGAAAAGAAGAGTAGCCGGTTGCTGCGCAAGCAGCACAGAAAGTTCCAACCACATTCATTGAAAAAAAAGTTTATTTTTCGATTTGTGCGCGATAAAATGAGAAGGTAAAAATTTTGCTGGTAAAACTAATTTTTTGCGTCTTATAAAAGCTCTATCTAGATTATAATACCTAATCGCTCGACACGAAGCTAAAAAGCAAAAAGTTTTTTGCAAAAAAGCAGTTTTGTTCATAGAGAATTTTTTTTGATTTTTTACATGTCGTTCGAATCAGGCTGAAAGGGCTTTAATATGATTTATCACTCGACCCATTTTGATGAAATACTGGTGGTACCTCATTTGCAAGACCAAATAAAAAAAACTAAAACACCCGAAGCCAATGTTCCTCGCCACTTTCAGTGGTCTGAACAGCTATGCATATCTCAAGAGTCCTGGAAGTGGATGCGTTGCGTGCACGTCGGCGCTTCGCGTTGATAATCGCCAGACTTTTTCATAAACATTTTGTTTCGGTACGGTGCTGCAAACAAGCAACACGTATCAGGCCGATTGAATTATCTGCTTATTTTGTCATCGGCTTATATTGATTTGGTTCTCCTCGAATCATTTATTTTCACTGAGATTTTTGGAACGTATTTTACATTTTTTTTGAAAACACAACTCTGATTGGCTGCTTTTCATTTTCTAAGATTCAGTCATGTCATGCGTGACGACACGCGAAATCTGTCCCACGACGAAATCTGTTGAAACGATCTTCGATCTTCTAAAACCACCAAAAACGATCTTCGAGAATAGAAATAAAATTGTTATGCACTGCTAATGACTCTTTAAATGCACGTATCGTTGGCTCTTGTTCTCTTCACTAATTTAAGTATTTGTTAATATTTCTCTGTTCTCTGCATTAAATTAAATATTTCTTAATAATTTAAATATTTCTTAATAATTTAAATAAAAACTCAAACATAGCCATCCCGGAAAAATAGAGCTACAAAATGCACTATTACAACGTTTGAGAGCCGACCCCGCCCCTAATACACACCGTGTGAAAACTCACTGTAAGCAACAGAAGAGAATACCAGCCAGAATAATGACATTTAGCATAATAATTTAGAATTGATGTTTGCTCACCGTTGAGCTCGTTGCATAATTTGTTACCAAGTTCTCGTATCTGATCCAGGTTCTCGGCAGATGGCTTAGTCCAGTCAACGCTCTTCATAGAATTGATCAATTCAGCCGCTGGTTTAAACAGTTTGAACGATTTGCAAGTGTGTCGAAACTTCAGACTGCTTTTCATGTTTAACAGTTGGCACTCTATCTAGGAGGTAACTATCCCAATGAATGCCGGGCGCTGGATTATTTGACGACTGACGAGGCGGGCAGTTTCATAAACATCCGCTGTCGAGGGGGCGCGTATTTTTTCACTAGTTAATCAATTGGTGTCTGCTTGGATTAATTCTTTTCATATTTGAATTTAGTTGTTTCATAGCTTTCTAGATTTTTGGAGAGAATTTTAACCAGCTCTTTTATGAATTGAAGCTGACTGACAAAAATACAAATTAAGCTTGTTTTTCGCATTCTAAATGTCTCGTCTTCTTTGCATTAATTTGGTTATTTATGTTGGAATAATGCCATCGCTGAAACTCTAATTGTTTACGATGCTCTATAATCATTGTTGAAGTTAAGTTTTATGTATTTGCTAACTAATATGAAGAAGTGATTCTCAAGAATAGCGAGCAACTAACTTTGCACCTGAGAGAAGCAAATTTTCAAAAGTTTTTCGCATCTGCTTTTTATTTTTGATTATGATAGCGCCTAACACTTTTTAACTTTTCCACGCCTTAGATATCCACTGAAAACAGAGGCGACACGGAAATTCATATCATTTGCTTTGTTCACAAACTACAAAAAAGAATTAATCGCTAACTACAACCTCGTTTCAAACTAGCAACAAGGATAGCCGGTTGCTGTACACGTAGCACAGAAAATTCAGACCACATTCTTTAAAAAGCTGAAAAAAAAACATTTTTTTTTCTTTTTCAAATTAGTGACCTTTTCAAAGCCTGGTGTGACGAGAGAACTATACAACCGCGTAGATAGTTAGTGAATTAGACACAATGGGCAACATTTATTATCAAAAAACGAATGACAAACATGAAAAAAAAATTAAATAAAAATTGTGCACAATAATTTTCAAAGCTTTCTAGAACAATTTTATAGCCAAGGAAGCGATAAAGGAAGTTTTCACAACCAGTTTCCTTTTCAGTAGAGTCAATTTTTTTTAGTTTAAGTTTCATATAACAAAGGTTACTCGATCGCTCTATTCGCTCGAAAAGGACTAAAACAAACGCTCGAAATTAGACTAAATTACACACGTTTCAATATACAGTTCAAGGGCTTTAATATGATCTATCACTCAACTCATTCGGATCATAGCTTACATAAAAAATCAAGGGCAGGAAAACGTTTTCCAGACCGAGTTACATAACTTGGCCTGGAAAACGAAAAAAAAATCAAGGGCAGTCGATTGCTTTGCAAGTGGCACAGAATGCTCCGGTTACATTCATAAAAAACTACAAAAAATGTAATTTTTTTCTTCAAAGTATTGTCGTTTTTAAAGGGTGTGATACACAAACCCGTAGAGAAACTTAGGCATGACCGAAGTTATTTGCCTTCATAAAATTTGTGACAAACAAAAGAATGAGAACAAAAAGACTTATTTTTTCACAAGAACTTTCATACTTTTAAAAGAACTTTTATTGACAAAAAACGCAAAATTAATTTCACAAAAAAATATTAAAAAAAGCTTTTGTAGCCTGAAATCCTAAGTAAGTTTTAACTTTTCATAAAAAGAACGTTACTCGATTGTTTTGCTGTACTCGCTCGAGTTTGAACGGAAACTCTATAGTTTTATACCAGTTTGTCTCAATTATCTGGTTTTTCAAATGATTCCTCATTCCTTAGCACTCAATGAATGAGGCTTCCAAAAAAGTTTTTAAGGAGTGAGACTACAGTTTTTTCTAATTAAATGAAAATGAGCCCTAGACGCTGGATTTTCTTACTCCAACTTAGACTTAGACTCAAAAAGTGCTGACCAACTTTTCTTGATACTCATTGAATTTTATTGAGTTTATACTCATTGAGTCGTTCAAATCACAGCGGAAAGGGCTTTAACTTTAATTGACCAATTACGAATTTCTATCGTGGTACCTGATTTCGCAAGAAATGAAAAACGGACACACACCCGAATACAAAGTTCTTCTCTCAATGGTCGGGAAAAAAGGAGAAATAACTAAAACACACCCAAAAACTAATGTCTTCATCTTTTTTGATGGTGGGAACAAAAACCCTCTGACACATATTTTGCATTAAAAGCAAAAAAAATTTTAAAAAGTTAAGCCATCAAAAAATAGAAAAATTTTGAAAATGTGTTTTATACAAACAAATGAACACATCGAATTAACAAAATACAGTACTTAAAACAAATGAGACCTAATCGTCACAGAATTAAAATCTAGTTTCCACTCAAGTCAGAGTTCTGTTCATGTATAGTTAAACTGGACAAATTTGCAACAAAGTTTTACAGCTACGAAAAATGTTTACCCAAATGTCATTCTTTTGAATAGTTATTACAAAATTTGTGCTTGAAAATCTAATCATTTTTTGGGTATCCGATCTATCTGCAAACTCACTCAAAAATTATAACATTTTCATTCACATTTTGTGATAACTATTCAATAGAATTGAAAAGTACTGAAGTAGCTGTAGAACTTTGTCTTTTTTGTACTGGCTTTTTTTTCAATGGAAAACAAATTCGCTTAATCTTACTAAATTCAAAGCGCTTTAACATAACAAAACTTTAATTTCCCGCAACTTGAAAAAATTGCTCAAAAGAGACATCACTCGAAAAGCTGATAAGTCCAATGGTTAATTTGGTTCTACTTTCAAGGATAATCGTTTATGATTATAATTTTGTCTGTGTACCAAAATGAAAATTAATTATTATTATATGATCACTGTGGCTCCAATTTTTTTTATATATAATGGCAAGCTGCCTTATAAATCTTACAAAAACTCGCAGAAATTGAGGTTACAATAAAACAAGTTAGTCTAAACCAAATTGCTGTGAAAACTAACTTTTTGACCAAACAAGGAAACATTTTTTTTCTTTTGAAGACAAATCGATTTCAATAGGGCTTTAGTATGATACCCAAACTGACCATATTCCTGCAAAATTTCACTGAAATAAGAAAAATGGGCTAAAAAGTCCTGGTTGCAAAATAGTTCGTTCCAGTTACTTCGCGACATGAAATGAACAAAAAATTCTAAACTAAAAAGCAGATATTTCCAAGCAGAAAGGCACATATTTTAGGAAAATTCAACCATGAAATTTTGAAAAATTAAAATTGCACACGAACACTTTTTAAACGTTTACCGGCATTATAAATTATAAACTCCACTCTGAAGATGGGACCGTCAGAAAATTTGTAATAATTCTAATATTTTGAAATAAAAAAAGTTGCCATCGGATCGCTATTGAAAGCTATCGGTGTAATTTGCTATAACATATGACTTAATGTTTAATTTCTGTGTCGTAGAAAAAACTTCAGAGAAGTTATTTTTTATCTTTTACTTTATCCTGTCAACGTTCAACAAAACTCTTAAGCAATAATAGTTTGAATCAATAATAGTAAGTTTTATGCCAGAATCACGAGCAAACATATCACAAGCGCAAGTTCCTCAGCAATGTATCATAACAATTCAGTCAGTGGTGCTGTCAATACATGACGGAGGTGCTCTTCACAGTTTTCGGCTGGGTGACCTTACTGTAGTTTTTCCCTATCATGTCTGACAAAAGCAACTGAAACAAACATAAATAAAGGGTATTACACAGCCAATAAAACTGGTTAGTGTTTCATTGGTATACAACTATTTCAGCAATTGAAAACAAAAACAAAGCGGAAGCTTAGTCGACTGAATATAAGACAAATAGCTAAAGTTATTAATGATAAAGCACAAAACTTTAACAAAAATAGATCACAAATATTTCCAACTCTGATTCGTTTACGATTGTTAAAACTAAATAGCATTGAATGTCCCGACTTTAAAAAATCCTATAGTAGAACAAGAAAAAAAATCAAAATATATACTTTTGTTATAATTTTCGTGCTTTTTTAATAAAGGGCGATTGAAATAGGAAAAACAGAAAAACTACAATAACAAGAAGTAAAATCAGCAAAAAAATGGTCTCTCATCGAACTATTTGAAATCCGAGTCAGAAATTAAATGCAATGACGAACAAATGAGATCCGAATGAACCAAATTCGCCCCATTATTCCCGGACTGAACGGATAACTTTTTTGACTGAACTGTAAACTCACGTAGAAATTCCTGAGATTGACTGTGATCTCTTTTAAATCATAGAACTCCATCTCGTCACCCTCTCGCAGACCCCACTTGTGGTCTTCCACGAGGGGGTGTTTGTTCACTCTCTTCACCTGGTCGCCTCTGGTGGTCTGGTGAGAACTGATCTGGACTGACACTTTGTTGCAGTAGTCCATCACTTTCGCAACCTCACATGCGATGCCCCTCTACAACATCCAAACTTAAGTCATCAAGGTCAAATTAAATTCGCATCTAATCTTTTCCAGGAATACACGCCAAATTTTTGTTCTACGGAAAATAAGCCAAAAATTATTCCACAATCATTTGATTATCAGAAACCGCTGAATGCAATCCCAGTTTTACAAACGCCATTTTGTTCAAACACTACCTGAATGGCGACTCCAAAATTGTTGCCGCCTTCTATCTTGGGCGTCTTCAGGGATATCCAGGTCTTCAAAATGCTGCATTGGGCTGCTAGTGTCTGAATCTCAGAGCAGATTCTGCTCCTATGCATTCTGAAAAATTCGAGCTGTCAAATTAAAAATCCCATTTAAAGTGTTTTTCGGCGGTCGTAGAAAATTGGTGAAATATGCATGTATAATCAGGGCCAATATTGTTTTGAGGTTCTTGTTGCTGATAGAAAAATAGCGTATCACAAAATCATCACTTTATTTATAATCAGATAGAAATTTTACCCCAAAAAGAATCATTATCTTCAAAAAAAAAAATTCCAAAGCAGGCGAGTATATATTAATGATTAAACATACTAACGCAATTGGGTCAAGTAGTTGTTCATCTACAGTAGCGGACTCCCGTAACTGTTTCAGTCTAAGTCTCTCCTCTTCCGAAAAGGTCTGTAGAAATAATTTTCATCACAGTAATTGTTTTACAAAAATTAAAGCTATTGATCGAGTGAAATACCATCGTTACATCATACTGACAAAGGGAGCGCGTATTATCAATTATATGGTTGAGCCATAAGAAACCACGCAAAACAAAACTCGAAATTGGAACAAAAATGCCATGAGAGCCCTCGGTTTTAAAGCAAAAATCCACCCGAAGGCACATTCGAATGAATATGCTAATAAAGGTATGAGATACTGGTTTGAGTGAACGGAGAAGATCTCTGAGAGAAGTTACAAAACCAAGAAGCTCAACCAATAAGTTTGACTTGGTGTCAGTAAAAAATCGAGCTGCTCGAACGTGAACATTTGGGAACATCACAGTACATTTTTGGAATTATTTATTAGGAGCACATCACAGTACTAAGACGATGCTTTTATAGCTACATAGATTTTGCTCGATAACTGCTATTCAACATCATGTTTTTTTGTCAAAAACCCAGAAAAAAAAACTTTTTTTTTCAAGATAGGTCTGTGTAGAAGAGTTAAGACCATTTATATACAGTCACGGGATATAGAAATTGCAACTTTTTGTTTTCAGCGAACTTTTTCTTTGTTCTATTTCGAGTTTTGTTCGATTTTTCTGCAACTAATTACTCAAGGGCGAAGTTGCACTTCGCATACACAAGCAAAAATCTGACCGATAACGCTACTGGGAAAAACTGAACTTCTTAACTGATGCACGCCAATTATGACGCATTAGCAGTCAATTCTAAAAAAAATAAATTTACCAACTAACATGCCTCAAAATAAACAGCAGTCTATGGAGCAGTAATAGCATGAAAAAATTAAATATAATAAAATTAAAAAGATTTTTTTTTTAATTTGAAATTTTTTGTGAAAATCATCACCCCACACGCCATATTAAGTACACAGTGATAAATTTCGCTCCTAGTAACCAATCAATTATGGCAAATAAGCTTGCTTCAACCAAATTGGAACGATTTCTAAGACGGATTAAATCTCCGCTTACGCGTTAATAGCGTGAAATATATTGGGCCTTAATTGTCCCAAATGGCAATTTTTAAACCCCCATAACTTAACGAAAAACGATCACAGGTGAAATATCTTTCCAAATTTAAGGACAACAATACTCTCTGAATGATATTTAAAAAATCCTGTCAAAAATGGCTTGTTAAAAAGTCGAAATTTGTCTGAAAAAAAAACACCCCGAGCACAAATATTCCGCTACTTTCATTACGAAAGTCGAACAACAATAGTCTTTCATAAAATGCATAGCAATGGCTGTACTTAATAGCTGGTTATTGAACACTTTCAAAATGAACACATTTTTTAGCAACAATAGGTTGAGACGTAGGTTGGAAAAAAAGATAGTTCATACTATAACACACGCATTGCTTGTGTAAAGATACAAGGTTCAAATTTTGGCAAAAAATAGGTGAAACTATTTGAAGAGTCTTAACAATACCTCTGTTAATTCTACTATTTGTCATTTTTAGGCAACATAATGATTAAGTCAAGCGCATCAGCTTCCCAAAAACTAATTTGAGCCCATTAATTCAAATTCTTCATATTTTTTGTGAGGTTGTTTCCACAGCAAGAACACTTCTCAAACTAGTTATGATATGCCGGCTAATTTACGCCTTCAAATTGCTGCTTTTTGAGCCAATTTTTGAAGCTGAGGCTTTGTTTGTTGGCTAAAAATTTCTAAACTTGGGTTTCCACAGTCAGTCCCGTCTTCCACAATCTGCAATTTAATGCACATTAGCTATGTATGACAGTTAAAAGGCCTCCTCCCTCTCGCGGGCCGTCTTTTGTTATTACTTTGTCGTTAAGACCAAACGAGGGAGCATAGGTTTTCACTGTTAATTTAGTTTCTTGAAACGCTGTAATGTATTTGGTATTCGCACATCAATGCTGCTATTTTTGGTGCTTTCCCGGATACGCCACATCAAGTAAGTTGTTAAAAAATGAGAGATTTTGGTGGTGGGCCAGAGTTTCCTGTAAGGTTATCTTTGAGATGCTGTAAAATCGTTTGGTTAATCGGGGGACTATTAAATTGGGCAACATGTGTTTGTAACACGTTGATTTTTCGAAACTGTCAGTTAGGTGTGTAAGATGTTAGGAGGGGTAGGATGTGGTTTTTTGAACAAGTGAAACAGTAGACGTTTCGATGGCATTGTTTTAATTTGCGAGTCCACTGCACGTCATGGGTTAAAAGATTTACAAACAACCGGAAAAATCAAAAACATTTTTAATTACAATGAATTGGTTTGCAGCACAAGAAAAATTGTGATGTCGCAAGTAAACCGTCAAAATAAAGACAGACAGACAGACAATAATTCGACAAAAAAAAACAGATCTCGACCGGATCCGGACCATGGACTTTGTGCAGGCGAAACCTTTACCTCTAGGCTAACTGTGTCAGAGAAGCCCATGAATTTGATTTTTTATAAATCAAGCTATCGAAAATTCAAGTAATTTAATTTAAAAAAGTTTTAACTTGGAAAAAGTCTATATTCCGATTTGATGAAGCTTGCTCGTCACAAGCGTAAAAAATTGAAATATTCGTATCCTACGAGCTTCGAACACCGACTTTTAGCTAACTATCTCAGAAATTACGAGTAGAAAACAATGTTGATATTTGGCTAATACACGGCACATTTAGCGCACGTTATTCATTGATTTCATTAATAAGCTGGAAATTTCATCAAAATTGAGACATTGAGATTAAACAAATTAATTGGAAGGAATATTACAAAAGACTCCTCTAAATTCAACATCAAAAAATATAGCCAGTTGCTCAGAAAGTAGCATAGAAAGCTCAGACCGCAATAACGATAAAAAAGAAACTATTTCTTTTTTTTCTTCAAATAGTGTTTTTTTATTCGTGGTGCAATGATCGGACCTAAAAGAGGCCTAGATCTGAGGCCTTATTTGATAGTAAAACGAATTAGGCAAATAAAACAGAAATTTTCCTCAAAAAATGAATAGAACAAAAGAATTTTTTCAAATTCGTTTTCTGAAGGTGCAAAAAAATCGAAAACTTTTCTGGATAAAATCTAAATTTTCACGGCTTAACTCAAATTATACGAATTTAACTTTTATAAGCCTATTATACAAGCTAGCTTCATGCTTTACTTGCTCGAAATAAGACCGGGTAAATTGATCATATCAAACCGGTTTTCAATCGATTATTTTGAAAATTCTTAGATATCGTTCGAATCACGACTGAAAGGGCTTTAACATGATATAAAGGGCTTCATCATGATAGGGCTTTAACATGATAGAAAGGGCTTTATCACTCAATGATTATTTGTAATAACAGATTGTGCGTGAAAAACAAAACAAAAAACCACCCAAAGACAACGTTCCTGCCCATTTTTAATGGTCAGAACTAAAAGATTCCAGTTTGTAATTGAGAGCAAAAGTATCAACCGTAAATAAATGATAGAAATAATTCGTTAAGCAACCAATAATTACACATGACTCACTTTAGAAATTGTAATGAATCACTCACCTCGATCTGTTTGGTGAGCTGGAGACACTTTTCAGGAAACACCGAGTCAAGTAACTGTTTAGCCTAAAATACATTCCACAATAAGGATTCAATGTCATGAATCAATTCAAACTTCGTGTTCTAATCGCTTAGTATTGACCGGGCAACTTGGGATGCTTCAAAAACAAAACTGATTATTAATGGCTGAAATGTTTAAAATACTGCAGGGGATCATGACATTGAGATATCTATAAAGAAGAGAAACTTTTTGAGGATAATTGAGCGAATTGATTTCTAAGGAGTATGAACTGTCATAACCTCCATGTCCAGATCCGATTGCAGTTCATCCATTGCACCAATCTAGAACGGCAGAAGTAACGGACTCAATCCAAAACAACTGGTTGCGTTGTATGTTGCAAAAGGTTTTCCGACCTTTTTTTTTAAATTAGCCCCCGGTCCTGCTCAATGCAGGACCTCCCCCACGGTTGGTTTTCCGACCTCAAATATTGGGCACAAGCGACACAGTGTGTATGCGAATCAAAGATGATGGCTAATCTAGGCTGTCGTTCAAAAACAATTGCCACTACGATCAATCAATAACTCTGCTTCTCGGATTGTTGCATTAAATGGTGGATTGAAACTTTGCAGTTTTGACATTTGAAACGTTGGTGATATAATACAAAAGGTGGTAATTTTGAGAACTATTAAAACAGTGCATCTATTAAATTTGAGGACTAAATGCATAATTTAGCCATTTCATTTTCAATCAATTGCACATGCTACTAAAATAGTTGTAAATAAATTACTCTGCCACATGAAATGTAATTAAAAACTCTAATTTGACACTTCTTATGCCAGAAATTTGGCGTTTGAAAAAAAAATATAAAAACAGTTCGAAGTACAAAGAGCGATCCAGCTATTTAAGTTAAACCTGTCACCTTATCAACTTGAATATCACAGCGTTTCGGTGATATTCTTGCTTAAGGATATCACCGAAACGCTGATATCCTTATGCAAGAAAAAATCAAACAGGAAAAAAAATAAGATGCCGATTAAACAAAAATACTCATTAAACAAATTTGGGAATTTTATAGGAAAGAAAAAACTTCGATTGGAGATTTAATAGATTTGTTAAAAACTGATTAACAAGAATGCTCTTGCTCGCGAAAAATTTGCCGAATTACAAAAATGAATTTGATTTGAAAAATTATGTCGTTAGAGAGGTCATTGCGACAACTCATGGCAAATATAAAAAGCCACAATTCGTCGAAAACTAACTTAATCAGAATTTGTCGCAATTAATTGACAGACTGGAGTTAATTTTTTATGAGCGTCGAGAAAAGTTTTAGAAAAAAAAATCGATCAAAAACGTCGTTTTTTGGAATTTTCGTTTGGGCGACCATTCGAGAAAAATAGATTACCAGGGTTTATACTCCAACCTAGCATCTGGATACCAAAAATTTTTCACCGCGGTACGTTTTGATGAAAAATTTTGCTGAAGATTTTTTAAAAAAATTTTGATGAAAGGAGGACAGCGATAATTTTTAGTGATTTGTTTGATGAAAGATTTTGTAAATAAAGCGATCGTTTGTAGTGCTTTATTTTTTCACTTTAAATATTTATGACTTTTGCGAAGGGCCATAACTTTGTGTGGAAAATGGGTGTATTTTTTATGCAAGAGAGCTTCCCGCAACGCGTTCTGTCGATTCAACCCAAAATCTCAGATTTTACCAAGGAGTTTGCGAGAAAATGAAAAAAAAAACATGGGTCAAACAGTTCCTCCACATACTTTTTCGAAAGTGGTAGAATGTGGATTGGGGTAACAGAGACAATGGGAACATGTAGACACACTGGGGAGTGGGCGGTCTTTCCATTGGTACCACTTTCCATTTTTGGAAATCTAAACGGTAGTTTTTAAGAAATACTTAATTTATGTGAAAAGTGACAAAAATTTCTTAAGCGTCTCAAAAAAAAACGAAAAAAATTAACCCTATACATTTTCATAATATCTGTTTTCATCAAACAGGAACTTAGCGTTTTTTAGAAACTCTAATGGAGGCTCAGCTTTTAAAATGAACTAGCATCTAAGGTGCTTCGACTTTTTAACAAACTATTAAGAACCGCAGATATTGGAAATAAGAACTGCATCCTTTGTGTGTACTCTGGGAGCACCCAATTACAGGAACTTAAATTTCAAATTAAATGTTGAAAAACCATAAAATTCTGTGAAATTCTTTGAAACATTTTAAAATGACATCAAAGATGTCACATCCCGGAAACTAAAAGCACATGAGCAGTCGCATTGTAATGCAAAAATTGCACCTCCTGAAAGTGCTCTCTCAGTACCCAACTACAGCGTTGTAATTTTTTCAAAATTTGAGAAACTTCAAACTTGAACTTTCTAAAAAAACTTTTTGAAAAAAAAAACAAAAAAAAACCTCATATCTCACAAAAACACCACATTGAGCAGGCATATTTGGAGTACCCAGACAGCCCCCAACTACAGGTTTAGGAATTTCAAATTTTTTTTTTAAATATAAATTTAAGTTTTCTGTTAAATTTTATGAAAAAACAATAAAAAACGTCATATCTCAAAAATACAAAAAACTAAGCAGTCATATTTGGAGGCAAGATTCGCAATCTCTGGAGTACTTTGACAGCCCCAACAACAGGGCTAGGAATTTCAAATTTTAAAAAACTTAAATTTAAGTTTTCTTTAAAAAAAAATTTGAAAAAATTACAAAAAAACGTCATATCTGGAAAACTACAACGACTTGAGCAGTTAAATTTGAAGGCAAGATTTGCAACCGCTGAGAGTGCCTTGACATCCCCCAACTACTGGGTTGGGAGCTTCAAAAATTTGAAAAGAAAAGATAATGTTTTTGAAAAAATCACAAAAACCGTCATATCTCGAAAACTACAAAGATTTGTGCCGTCAAATTTGAAAGTAAAATCTGAAACTCCTGGAAGTACATTGAAGACCTCAATATAGAGATGAAAACTTCAAAAAAAAAATTATAACTAAGTACTTTGAATAATTAAAAAAAAGTTGAGACTAAAACGTTGAAAATTTCATTTTTTTTGAATTTTTTAAAATCCAAGTTTTCTGAAAAATTAAAAAGAAATCATAAAACACGACATATCTCGAAAACTACAAGGAATTGAGCAGTCACATTTGAGGCAACATTCGCGACCCCTGAGAGTACTCTGACAACCCCCACTACAAGAAGGGGCATTTCAAATTAATTTTATGCTTTCTTGATCACAAAAAACATCATATCTCGAAAAGAACACAGATTTCAGCAGTCAAATTTAGAGGCAAAGTTCGCAACTCCTGGGAGTACTCTGACAGAGCCTCACTATATAGATGGAAACTTGTGAAAATTTTAATATCTAAGTTCTTTAAAAAAAATCCTAAAAAACGTCGTATCTCAAAAACTATAAGGATTTGAGCAGCCATATTCATATATGGAGCACAAATTCGCAACCCCTGGGGAATCCTTATAGCTTCCCGTCATTGGGTTGTTACTTACAAAATTGATGAAATAATCCTTGGCATCAAATTGGAAAATCGAAAAAAAATCTTAATCATTGCAATGTACGATATAGCTTAAAGGTGCAAAAATTCTTTTGTTAAACATTCAATAATACGTTGAAAAAGCTTAAACATGGCGAGATAGTGAAGCCCGCATTTAAATACATAATAGATTAAAACGAGGGTTTAATCAGCTGAAAACCTCCAGATGTTGATTTTTGGCCGCAGCGTCTCCGAGGCTTCAACTCTATATAATTTGAGCCCAACCGGCTAATACAGTGCCATTGAACTCAAGAGCATTAAGACAACTTGAGGAAGTGAGAAAAAACTGTGAGCTAGGTATTTTTTTCTCAACATTGACTGACACAAAAAACTTCGTGAACTCTCAAGCGTTTATAATAAAGACCTATTAGCCCTGAGTAGCATTTCACGAGAAAATTGCTTCAATGCCGAGAAAAACTGGTCTCAAAAATTTGGGTTTTCAGACTAAATTAACGAACTTGACGATAGACTGATCTTAAAACTTAATTCAACTACAAACTTAACATTACTTCATATATTTTAATTACAAATTCTTGCAATTTTGCAATGAACTTAAACGCCCCTTCCGTGAAGCAAAAATATAAGTAATTTGAACAAAAACTGCATAGGGAATTTTGCATTGGGAAAAAATTATTACTGAAATTTACTCTTTTAACAGCGTTGTCGAAAAATTTAGTGCTTCGCGTACAACAACCGGTTATCCTTGTTTGCGCCTCGCATTGAGCTCAAAATTGAGTACAAGGTGAGTGCAAGGTGGTGACTCTCGTAAAAAATTACGCTTGCCAGCAATTAAACGCTTGCCAGTACAACGGCCCTCAAATACACTTTCGAAAATCAATAACCCAGTTGCTTGGCCTGAAATAAGGGCGGTGAACTGCTGCCATAATAATTTATTTCTCAACAATTCAAAAACCTAGCCAATAGACAGTTGGAAAAGAATCATGAACGCAAGGAAAAAAATACTTCAACTTTCGAATTTCAAAGAAAAAATTTATGGTCCTAAAGCTCTTTGAACTTCAACAAAAATCATGATTAACACTTTTTGATAAAATCAATTCAATTTGAGAAACCTGGATCAAAAGGAAAGATATCTATTTCACCGGGAATTCTGAAAATTCAAAACCATTTTCGAAATTAGAAGTCGATCACGTTTTTCGTGATCTTTACATTTTTGCTGTTCAATAGTGGATTTTGCTCTTCCTTTTAACAAAGAAAATGAAGTTTTAAACTTTCCTGAAAAAAAAACGAAAAATCACCAAGACAATCAACAGTACTCACTACGTTCATCACTCTCAAAAAAATAGGCACGAATCAAAAGTTTCGTAAACAAGAACCCTCTGATGATTCTATGGGTTGTGAGGAGAGCGCAGGGCTGTCTTTCATGGTCATCCCTTTTTTGTTCACACATTAGAGTTGTCTGTGGCAGATTTATTCATATAAGCCTATTTTTCATCGTTAACTTTTCTACGGTTCCGCAACAGAAAAAAAAACGGATACGAAATTAAATTGACTAAATCAAAAACATAACATGAGTTGGTTGTATTATCTGAATAAAACAAAGACACATATCAAAATTTTTCACAATCAAGACACTAAAAACCAGAGACAATTTATTTTGCATCAGGTAAAACAAAATATTTTCGGCAAAACTCAAAAAAGCAAACAAGATAAGACTCAAATCCTAATTTCATTACCCATGGTAAAGGTTAAAAAATTATTGCACCGACAAGATGACAAACTTAAAGCCTCGTGAGTGAAGTTTAACATCTAAGCATGAATGGTTGCGTGAATTGTCGACTCAAAAGTCGAGATGATGAAATTTGGTCTGAATAATTTGAACTGAATAGTCTTTTTGAAATTATCTAACTTTTAATCGATTCTGAATTAGTAGCACTCTTTTATTCTCGGTACCGACACATCTTACAAGCTAATCGGGCCAGATATAATTTTGACAAGCTGCAGTTCTAGGGAAAATGTGCGATTTTTCAAATTGTTAAGCTATATTCGACCTTTCAACCAAAAAGCTAAGTTATCAGACTACTTAAGATTTGAATTGGCCCAATTTTACTGTATATTTTAATGTATAGGACCCGATAATTCTGTTTTGTACGCAATAACTCTAAATCCACTCATTCAATCAACAATGAAGGATATTGAGTCGTTTGGCTTGGCGTTCACGACTGGGTCCCAAATGGCCGTACTGCGCCTCTGCATGTATCTGGGCTTGTTCACGTTGAACAGGGAGGGCAAGTAAACGTCCTGCTGGTACGCAAACTTCAGTCTTCGGATTTTCTTGACTAGTCTTCGGTTTTTCTGCAGAAGGAAGATACTTTTCCCTGAAACAATCATCACATTCAATGAGCAGAAGCTTAATTGAACTTTGAATGAACATTTTATAAAAACTATTCAATTAACCCAATCGGAATAATTTTGATTCATAGTTAATTTTTGCTCTGCTGGGGAAATTCAAAAATATATTCAGTTAGGATAAAAATGAAGCAATTGTTTTAAAGGGAGTGCTTTTTGACGCCAATTTCGTAAAGTTTCGAGCGTGATTGTTTCTAAAAAGAAAAACATGATCACGTAAGTGAACACAGAAAACGTAATTGGAAAAAAGAGTCCATGAACGCAAGTAACCAAAAAAGACTCACTTGTTTTTCAAAAAAACTTCAACTTTCCATTATCAAAAAAAAATGTATGACCTTAAAGCTCTTTGAATTTCAAGAAATATTATTGATTGACACTTTCGATTACAATAACCCAATTTGGGAAAACTGAATAAAAAATTAAAATCTATGGAAATCTGAAAATTAAAATCCACTTTCGAAAAGAGAAATTGATCACGTTTTTTGCGCCATTTTTTCTTTTGTAACTGAAGGGCAAATTTTGTCTGCCTTCAAGCAAAAAAGAACCTGAATTGAACTCTGGTGCACATATTCCTACTTTCATTCATAAAAGCATTACTATGTATGAATGCGTTTCTGTAGTTATTAGAGAATTTTCCTATAATTTATTTCTCTATGAATTCTATGATAAAATTAACCTAAATTGAGAAAATGGAATCAAAAGGTAAAATTTTTATTTCACTGGGAATTCTGAAAACTTAAGCCCACCTTCGAAACTAGAACTTGATCACGTTTTTAGTGACCTTTACACTTTTGTACGATAGTGGAGTTTGCCTTTCTTTTTCCAGAGAAAATGGAGTCAGTTTAAACATAGCCAACAGACCGTTCAAAAAGAGTCAATGAACGCAATTAAACGGAAAAACATACTGGCTAGGTTTTGTTTAGAAAAAATATCATCAACATTTTGTGCTAAAAATAACCCCATTTAAGAACACTAGATCAACAGGTAAAAAAATTTTCCACGCTGGGAAATCTGGAAATTAATTCGAATTTCTACAAGACTTCGATTTCGTTTTTCGTGACCTTGACACTTTTGCTGTTTGACAGCAGAGTTTACCTTGCCTTTAACAAAGGAAATGAACTGAACTTAAACCGGAACAAGCGCTCGTATCAAGTCAAAGGCGTAAAGCTTCCGACAGCCTGTGCAGGTCTATGGAGCAGTGTTCGCTTTTAAAAAAATGATGAGCTTTCACGAATGAAAATAAAAATACATTTGAGCTTTTTTGAAAATCATACCACCACATGCTATGTAAAGTACCAAGAAGCTATAAGGCATTAAGCAATTATTAAATAGACCCAATAGCAAGCCTCAAGTCAATTTGGAACGATTTCTAAGACGGATTAAATCTCAGCACGAAAAATAGCACGAAAAATATCGCGCTAAAACGTCGCGCATATAAGTTGTCCCAAGCTGGCAATTACTCGCTGTTCAAAAGAGGAGCTTGCCTTCTTTTCAACGAAGGAAATGAACTGAGCCTTAAAAGAACAATTCTTTAAAAAAGCATGAAGACTTAAATAAGAGTATTAAAAACTGGATCAGTGGGTATATTTTGTTACGAGAAATCTGAGAAATGAATTTAACTTAATCTGCAATTTACCTAACTTTTAGCACGTGAATTTGAATTGAACGTTAAAATTCATGTTATATGTATGAATGCATTTTGCTAGTTATTAGAGCACTTTAAATCTTTTACTGAGAAAAACCATAACGTCTTAAATAGAGTCTTCAAAACTCTAAAATTCACTTCGCCAGTCAATGCTTATAATAATCAAAAAAAATTTCAATTTTTTAATTATAATGTTCTGTTTTGCCAACTTCTCTTGAAAAAAAAACAGTGACGACTCCAACCGTACGACTCCTACAGATTTTTGAAAAAATTTCAATTAAATTGCTGAAAAAATTTAAAATTCTATCAATTTAAATTATTTGTTTCAAACTGAAGTCTGTTATTTAGATTGAGTAGACTAAGCGTTTAAATCATATTCAAATTAATTAAAACAGCTTTTTAATGGACATAACTGCTACTATCTATAATTTATAATTTTTAAATAAAGACGAAACTACGAAAAAAAAATCAGTAATTGGCTAACAGATTTACTCAAATTTGGTTTTAACGAAATACAAAAAAAAATTATCACCAACACCTCGATGTGCAGTGGCTCCAACCAAGACACGATCAAGGGGCAAATTAAAGTTTGTTTAAAGTCAAGCTACTCACACACGTTGAACGAATACTTCAGGGGAACCGAGATTTAAAATAAAAAAGGTCAGATTATCCCCAGCGAAATTTGTTTTTTTTTCTAAACTTAACCATTGTGCTGTCCGGCACCATAAAGAGACTCTAATGCTACGACATCAGCTTCTGGATCAGTCAATTTTATCGTAACCCTGATCACCATCTTGACCGCACTGACCAAAATGAATACATGCGTTCAATTTTCCACTAGCAAGAACAACACCCAATAAGCCGAGTATGGCACCCTCTCAAAGTTCTCCGCTCTATTACACAGAGCATTTGAGTGCACATGTTGTAGTTGTTGTAGCTACATCGATCTCTGATTCGAATTTCTGATTGAATTGGGGAGATCGATTATGTTGAAGAGATTTAGGGAATGTTCATTTAAATTTGGTCTTCGTCTTGTCAAATCTAACACTGCAGTTTCCCCAGGGCCTCTAGCGGCAAAACCGACGTAGAAGAGGAACCACCTGTTACACGGAAAGCGTCTGCAGGCTGGTGTCGACACCGCCTCTCTGTATAGCACGCCCAATAGGGAGGTTTGATGTTTTAAAAATATGCCCGTTATAGGGGCCAGGTTTTTCGGCATGCGAAAAACTGAGTAAAACTCCATGCTCCTTTTAAGCGAGTTTTTTTAATTGGCGCGGAGAACTGAGAAAAAGTCCCGTTTCTTGAGGTTATGTGTTAAGCTGCAAGTGTTTGGCAGCTTCTTCGGGACTCTCCATAAGCTCTCGAATTTAAAGGAGGTAGGGTGTACTCGGCAATTAAAGAGTTCGGTGGTGTGTGGCCCTATGTATCAGCTTGGGTAGATGCCAGGAACACTGTTGTTCAGTCTGCAATAGTAATTTTTTAGATGTGTCGAGTACCCGGCTCTAAGTGTACAACTAGTTTTCCGGTCAAGTTTGTTTTCGTTTGCTGATAAGTGGTAATATACTGCAAATGGGAGCCCAATAGTTCAAGACACTCTCCCAATAGCCTTGTAGGGTATTGAGTGTTTCTTTGGAGAAATCCCAGGTTGTGCCAGCAAGTTTTTTGAGAATATTGTTTCTTTTTCGGAGTTACTCGCAGGTCTTGTTGGAAGATTCATGAAAGTTCAGCAGGTTGTCAAAAGTAACTCCTACAATTGTTTGGTTGCCTGTTGTGGGTAGTTTTCTACCATCGACCATTACATTTGCTTCAAGGTAAAAGTCTATGTTGAAAAGATAGATGTTGTTGATTTGTCTTTTGACAGAGAAAGATTTCTGATCTTAACCCAGTTGTTGAAGCTTTTTAGATATGAATTCATTATTTCTGTAATATTTTGATGTTGACATCTGGTGTTGTGACTGTTAGATCATCTACGTAGGTAGTTACTCAGATGTTATCATTGTTGGGTAGGGGCAATTTGGGTATCTAGAGGTTAAATAGAACTCGTTAGCTGCACTCATCATGCTGATTATCTTTAACCAAGCATTGAACCAAACTCAAACATCGACTTCGCATTCTCTATGCAAAGGTCGAAAAAGTCTACAGTAACTAATAATTGAGCAAAAAAAACTGATTTTAAAACATGAAGATCTTTTGCCTTTATATCTGTATATATTTAATGGCTAGTCAAGATCATTCAAGTAAATTTTTAAACTCAATGTTACATTCAGAATTGATTCATTTTGGTATTAATTGAAGGCGTGACGAAAATTTGCGGTGTTTCCAGCCTTGAATGTAAATTTATGTTCTAGCTAATTAATTAAGCAACTACTTTAGACTCAGAACCAGGCTGATTTTGCCGTCAATTCTGTTACGGCTGATTAATCCAGTTACTGCATCAGCTTACTTTCGTCTTTTAAAGAAAAACTTTTTGAATAATCTCGTTCTGATTTAAACTTAAGAGCAACTCTAAATACAGACTTTATTCAACAATCCGTTTTGTTTTTATAAAACGAGAGTTCTGGCATGTCTGACATAAAAGAAGGAAAACCATTAAGTGAAAAAGTAATTGGGAGCAACCGGCTGATTATAGTTTTGGTCACGCTGGCTGAAGTTTGCGGTATCATCAGTTTGGCCCTACTCGTGCACTGGTTAGACAAATACTACGAGGGATATTCATTTCACAAAGATGACTCAGCTCTCTTCTCATATCATCTTATTTTCATGCAAACTGGGATGATCTTTCTCTTCGGAAACTCAATTGTCGTGTTCAGATTCTCCAGTGCGCTTCCTGTTTGTAATTTTGAAAATTTCATACCACTATGTGTTCTATTTATACAAATGGTTGTATTTGATTCAAAAAAAAAATCCCCGAGGAGCAGTATTTTTTTAAAGACATCATTGAACATATTATTATATTTCTGCATTGGCAAATTGAACAACTGAGAAAACCATTTTCATTTTCAGCCTTGAAATTCATTTTCATTTTCAATCGCTTTATGAATATTGAGGGCGATATGAATTAAATATAGTAACTGTAAGACGATAGCAAATCTTTCTACAATGTTTTGATGACATTTAGATTCCTCGACTGATGCTCAAAATATTGCACGGAGTAGCCCATGCTCTAGTCATCTTCTTTATCTGCCTGGGCATCTACAGTGCGGTGCGGATGAAGAATGTGTTCGGACATAATGACATGTACAGCTCACACTCCTGGTACGGAGTCCTCACCATCGCCTTATTCTTCATCGAGTTCGCATTCGGACTGGTGACTTTTGCGACGCCAGCGGTAATTTTTTTATACTACCTTTTCTCTCATCTTCTTGATCATTACATGAACCAGAAACGGAGTTATCCTCTTAGACGTAAAAATATTACTACTAGTATGAAGAATCAAATCAAAGCTACGTTTTGTCATGCAACGCAAGAGTCGTTCTATCGTTTCAATGGTATCAGAAGATATGAAACAATTTCTTGCTTTCTTACACATGTATATCCGATTTAACGACAGGCAGACATGAATGATAGTTTTTCAGATAATCGTGGTTGCCAGAAAAAGTGGAAAATATCATCAACTATTGTAGTATTTTTGTAGGCTCGGTTAATTTTTTAGTTGATGTTTCTGACTATTTTTAACTCTTTTTATACAAAGTTGAGCGAGAAAAATAGGAACTCAAAAAATAAATGATATTTCTAATGTCAGTTGTAACAACCTGATTTTCCTTAAACCAAATCCTGTTTTAGTTTTCTGACAGTATGAAGCAGAAGCTGCTGCCTCTGCACCATTACATAGGAGCATTGACCTTTATCATGGCCTTTGTTACTGTCATGACCGGTATCCCACGTATGAACGAATTTGTGGCAAGGACCACTGGAAAAAGCTACGCCGAATACCCTGCGTGGAGTATCGTCTCAAACTTCTACGCCCTTTTCACTGGCGTGTTTGTGCTGCTGATCATGATTGTTATAACAAATTCGGCGTTCAAACGACAATCGAATAATGCTTCATCTGCAAAAGATGAAAAAGCTGCAACTCAATTTTAATTTGATACTACTCAACTCAGCCAGCCATTTATAAAGATTTACAATTTAATTTTGCGGATGATTTTCAAACTTCGTTTGAGAAAACAGTTTCAGCGCAGAACGATAAGGAACGCCAACAGACAATCATAATGATAATCATAATAATCAAAATTAATCAGAATAATTATCAAATAAATGTTTTCATGCTATGCGCTCTACAAAAATGTACGAAACTTTATAGTTTAACATTCCAGGCGCACCAGCTTGAGCGGACACTGAAGGATATCCAGCCTGTTTAAAGTGCCGCGAACGAACTTTCCAATTCTCGAGAAGCATATGTTTGTCACGAATTATTTAAATTCTGAAAACATTTTTGCTTCTAATACTTTGAAACTATATGAATATCTGGCCATTTTTAAAAAGACAAAAAGAGGATAACAACATGCAATGCTCAAAAAAAAAATATTTTTTTTGTCAAAAAAATACAAGTCAAAGACATAAAGACATATCAGGCAGCTAGATTCATCGTAACTTGACATATCTAAATACATATCTGTGAAAAGTTCCGAACCAACTATATAGTTGTCTCCTAAATTGATCAAATCTGATTCATTCAGTTCGATAAACTGCGATAAAATTTTCGTGTTAAATTTCGCCAGAGCTTTGAATAGTTTACGCGTACGTACAGATAATCATTTTTGTTCCAACTTTCGATACGAAAGTAACGGAATATTTGTGCTCGGGGTGTCTTTTTTTTTCTTCAGACAAATTTCGACTTTTTAACTAGCCATTTTTGACGAAAATTTTTTATATCATTCGAAAGGTATCGTTGTCCTGAGCTCAAATTTGAAAAGATAATTCACCTGTGATCATTTTTCGTTAAGTTATGGGGGTTTAAAGATTAATTTGGGACAATTAACGCGCGATATATTTCGCGCTATTAACGCGTAAGCGGAGATTTAATCCGTCTTAGAAATCGTTCCAAATTGGTTGAAAGCTTATTTGCCATAATCGATTTGTTACAAGTGGCGAAACCTATCCTTTTGTACTTTATATAGCGTGTGGGGGGATGATTTTTATGAAAAATTTCAAATTTTAGAAAAAAATATATATTTTGTTTTATTACATTTAATTTTATAATGTTATTACTGCTCCATAAACCTTAATAGGCAGTCGGAACATTCAGGGCTTCGCCCTGATACGAGCAGTCTTGTTTGTTATTTATCCTCAGTTGTTGCTTTGTTTTAGACACTAGAGTCGTACTTCTAAAGAAGCAATTCCGTCAAAGTCTCCATGAAATTGTTAAGTAACTCGCTGCCATGTTCAGACCTTATAATTGAATGAGACGTTTAAAATCTCATATTTGTGTAGCTTACACAAGGAACAAAATTTTTCGGTTCGTCTTACAGTTCTTTCTTCTTCAAATCTGTTCCGCCTAAATTATTCGCAGGAAAAAATTCTGCTGACGCTGTAGAACATTTAACTTGAATTTATTAGCAGTACCATAAATCAAAATAGCGTACTGATAAATGGGTTGAATATATTGCTTAAAAATTAAAAGTACAACTTATATAACTATGAGATAAATTTATTACAATTTTTCGTTAACTTCTTGGTCAAGGATTACACCCAAGTATTAGACATTTGGTTTTTTCTCCAGAAAACGATTGTTCCATTTAAATTGAAGGAACTATTTTTCCCTGTATCAAAGTCGTTTTTCCCTGTATCAATAGCGTACTGATAAATGGGTTGAATATATTGCTTAAAAATTAAAAGTACAACTTATATAACTATGAGATAAATTTATTACAATTTTTCGTTAACTTCTTGGTCAAGGATTACACCCAAGTATTAGACATTTGGTTTTTTCTCCAGAAAACGATTGTTCCATTTAAATTGAAGGAACTATTTTTCCCTGTATCAAAGTCAATTTGTTCGTGCCATCCATTTTGAAATTTGTGAAAGATCGCTTTCAATGTTTTCGATTCTCTATGAAGATTTGTATCATCAGCGAATAAAATGAAACCAGAATTCTCTACTGCTTCAGGAAGATCAGTTAAATAGAGCAGGAAATTCCTGACCCCTATGGGACGCCAGTTTTGACTAGTTCCATGTTTGACGATGGCAAACATGTTTGACTGATGGTAATCTTGATTACAAACAAACTATTTTCTATCAGAGATAAGAATTTAGAAAGTGAACAGGATAGGATGCGTTAAGCCATACAATTGGCATTTTGCAAGTAGAATTGAATGATCAACTGTGTCAACGGCCTTAGTCAGATCTAAAAACATACAAAATACAAAACTTTTTCTGTTTTTACCCGCTCAGAGATCAGCTATGGCATCAACTGTTGACCTTTTGTTCTGTAATCATCTGTTCGACCGATAACTTTTTTAAAACTTAATAATCTTTACCATGCGCTTTTTGAATAAATTCTTGAAAAGTTAAGCAAAAGTTAGAAGGAGAGAAATTGTTCGATAATTGCTACACACTAGTCGAGTGCCTGCTTTATGAAAAGGCACAACTTTTAGACAGTTTGGATAATAAGTTTCGTTCACAGTTGTATTGAAGATATCACTAAGTTTTGGGAAAACTTCTGGTTTTCTTCTTAAAGACAACATTTGAGGTTCTATTATCATCCTCACTTATTTTATTCGAATACTTCTAGACTGTCAAATTCAAAAAGAAACATCGAAACAGACTATTTTCACTTATGAAACCTCACAAGTTCCGTTGAAGTTTGTTTTAGCCAGTTCTGGACCAATTGACACAACCAAAATGTTAAGATTGATTTCTGCGTCTCATTCTTTGTTGAAATCACAAAAATCTTTTTGTAGATAGTGATGTCTCTTTACTAAATATATTGGCATGGAGATCTTTTTTCTTTTTTCAAATGAATTTTTTTAACTTTCTGAAAATGTTTTATCAGAATGATTAATGAGTCTTCCGTTTTCAAATTTATGGTCTTTTAAGTAGTTTTGTCTGAACGTTGCAAGCATTTTTCACTTCATTATCAATCCAGTATTTAACAAAAAACAAATTTTGTTTGAATGGGTAAAAAAAACTTAAGTTCTCAATTAAAAGTTCATTCAAAGAATCAAGCTGTTCTGCATTTAAAAATTGAAATTTGGTCACATTTTCCTGAATTAGTTTGTCCAGGCCCAAATTGAACCATTTGTTTTCATCTTTCAATAAAAACCGTTTTCTAAAATTGACTTAGATGTTTTCATTTGAATCGCTTGTTGATTCTGAGTTTAGCTGAACAAACACACCATGGTGATCAGAAATCCCATTTTCTGACATTATAGTTCTGCAATCAAACTTCGCAGAAACTATATCTAAAACAGTACTACTAGTTGCAGCTATTCTGATAAACATTTGTTGAGACACTAAGTTAAAATTCAAAAGTTTCATTTGATCAATCAAAATCAGTTTCTGTTTTGAGTTCTCAGAAATATGAGATCTCCACATAACATATATGTTTCGCTTCCGAATCTAAGCGAAGATCAAACAACTGTGTCAAAAATATTGGAAAAATCTTATAGCCGAGTCTCCGTTAAAACAAGAAGATATGATTTTTGTGATTACGTTTCAAAAAAAATTCAAGTTTTTCATAATTTGCTCTCAAAGAGCAGACGTTTTGTAGCAAGAGCAAGTCAGTGATTGGACACAGGCGAAGTTGCACTTCGCATACACAACCAAAAATATCACCGAACGCAACTGGGAAAACTGAATGCGTAAAACATTGAGTCTACAAAATTTCATAAGTGACGAACGCCAATTATGAGTGTACATAATTGATAAGTGACGCAAGCCAATTAAGACGCATTAGCAGTGCCAGTCAATTTGAAAAAGAAATTTACCAACTAACATGCCTCAATTTATAGAGCGGACGCATTTAAACTAGGACACGAAAAAGTTCATTAAAAACATCCGAACCTGCCATGTTCGAACCTTCTTATTTTGCTGCTGGTCTCTCCCTACCTCTACGCTACGGTTCCATGATGCCTTGAAGCTAAAGTGCTATTTGTAATATAATAGTCTGTGTTAATATCCTTAGCATTGGCTGTACTTAATAGCTGGATCAAAATGAACACTTTCAAAATGAACACATTTTGTCGCAACACTATTTACCACTTAGCTTGGAAAAAAGAAAGTTCATACTATAACACAAGCTATGCTTGTGTAAAAAGAGTCAATGAACACAAAGAAACATAAAAATTACTTTATTGTTTTTTGAATAAACTTCATTTTCGAGTTTCCAACAAAAAATTATGACCGAAAAGCTCTTGAACTTCAAGAGCAATTTATTATTGCCTGTTTTTTGATAAAATTAACCCATTTAAGAAAAAACTGGATTATTAGGCAAGGTTTTTATTCCGCTGCGTAATCTGATATTTTAATTTGATCGAAACTAGAAATCCATCACAAAAAAATTATCAAGACGTATATAAGGGTATCCAATACGTTCATGACTCCTAACATCTAACACTCCTAATATTAAAAAAATATAACAAACAAGAAGCATTCTTGCTAATATAAATACTACTTACTCTTCGCCCATTTGGGCACTGGGAGCTTGGGTCTCGATTCATCATCAGTCTCCATCTCTTCGTCATCATCATTGTCAGGTACCAGTTCTGTCAACTTGCAGTACATGTGCCTCAATCTGGGCACTGGAAGTGTCTTAGGCTTGCTCGATAAGACTGAAGGCGGCAGTCCCTTCGCTTTAACAACACCAGCACCAACAGATGCCAATGAGGACGACGAACTGCTACTACTGCTAGCTGCAACAAAGCAAGCAAACTAAAATTACAACAAAATGAAGCGAGGGGGACCTTTCCTCTTCAGGGATTCGACCCGACCCAAAGGGTACCCCCTTTGTACTATTTTGAGATATCCCTTTTTGGCTGACTGACCCTGAAATTTTTCTAAAGGCAACTTTGGCGCCAAAAAATTCTAAATTGGGGGGGGGGTTGGAGCGCCGAAAAAACGCAATTTTTTGGTTAAAATTTTCCAAAAAGTGCCTCAAAACCCATTTTTTGGTATGTTTTTTTTTCAAAATTTTGCCTGCGTCGCAGAAAATTTTGCCAAAACAGAGTCTTTATAGTGCTTTGGCAGAGCTCAGAAAATCAATTTAGTCGACCTAAAAAAAGTCGAATTTTTTTTTAAATCCACCCCCCTCTCGAGAAAATCCTAGATCCGCCTCTGAAATGAAGCATCAATTTATTCTACCAAAATTGTTGAGTTTCAACGGCCTACCAAAATTGTTGAGCTTGAGTGCTACTGTAGACTTGAAATTTGATGCTGCTGCCGTCAGTTGATTTGAAGAAGAGGATGAAGCAGGTGGCTTTGATGCCTTCGTAGGAGGCTTGGCCGCTGCCGTCGGGTTCATGTTTGCCATATTCAATTTAGCCTAAACGCAATAAAAATAAACAATGCAACACTTCGCAATCTGTTAGAACTTGCCAGACTGCTAAGCTTTTGAAATGAATACACAATTTAATTCATCTAAACTGGTTCCAAATCGATGCTAGTTTAAATTATAGCAAATCAACACTTCCCAGGACACCCTGAGTGACTGATGAATGGGGGGGGGGGGGGCGGTGTTAGATTGAGACTGACCTTGAGAGCTCTCTCCTCGTTCTGTCGCTTCCTCTCCAGCTGTTCCTGCTTCTTCCGCTCCTCTAGCTGCCTCAGTCTCTCTTGTTGCTTTCTCTCCTTCTCCTCTAACGCAGCCTTCTTCAGCTCCTGTTGCTGAAACAAACAAACATGCATTCATTTCACACACAAGCTCTTTTTCCTTTCCCTAACTGCAATTTTTATGAATAAATTTTTGTACACATTGTCCGATTGTTAAAAAATGGCATGCGGGCTAATTAGGCGAAGGCAAACTTTATTGGTCTGGCTATTTATAGCCTTATAAACTCCTCGTTACACTATAAAATTGACAAATGTGAGGTGGGAGGGAGAGGGGGGGGGGGGGGGGGGGCACACTCAAAAAGAGCCCACACATATATACACAGAATAAACTTTCTAAAACACGAGGTTACTTTTCCTGACCTCATATCGCAATATTTGAATATAATAGTATCAGAGGCATCGCGAATGAAAAAGCTGCAAAAACGTTCAGTGAGGCTATATCTTCAAAAAAGCCCCCCCCCCCTAATAAGTGCCATTTCTTCGGCGTGGTGTGATTAGAGAACTACACAAACGCGTAGAAAATTAGTGATTTAGGCGTAATCGACACAGTTGCCTTCAAAAAGCGAAGAACAAAAATTTTAAAAATTCAAGTATTAAAAAAAGGCTGCATATTTTTTCAGTATTTTTTAGATTTTTTTTAGAATTTCGTTCGAATCACGATTCAAAAGTCTTTACTGTGACATATCTTTCGGCCCATTCTGATGGTTATTTGTGGAACCTAACTTTCCGTGAAAAAAAAAACTAAAATACACTCGAATACAAAGTCCCTCCCCATTTTCAATGGTCGTAACAATGAATGCGAGATGATCAATATCTAGGGAGCCTTAATTTTTCATTTTAATTTTTATCTATAAATGTATCGCCATTTAAATTGACCTATTCTCGACTGACCTGCCCTTTGGAGTGCAGTTCCAGCTTCTGCTTGTTCAGATCTGGGTTCCAGAAGGACTTCACATTGGACACTATGTGACCTCCTCCACTACGAGGAACTGACTTGAATCCACTAAGGCCGGACCTACAGCAACGCAACATATATGAATACGTAATTTCAGTATGTTCCACTTTAAACTACGTCTCTCAAAATTGATGCAACCTCCAGATTAATTATTCTTTTCGATCAGCTGCATTTTCAAAAAATCACTGATATTTAAATTTCCCTAAAATACAACTTTTTCAAATACTTTTGTTATTCGACTCGTTTTTTTTTAAGAGAACAAATCTGCAGCCGATAAACCCATGTGATAATGGCTTTTGTTGCTTATCAATTGAATCTTCATGAACGAGTCAAAGTTAGGAACGACGAGTCTCAGGTAAATTTCATTCATATAGCAATGCATTCACTTTTTCTCGATACTGGTAAATATTCCACTTGAATCCGCTTCCACTTAATGGTCGCAGCAACAAACTGCCTGACAACTAATTTCAGCATCTAATGTCAATGCATTGTAATAAATTTCATTCTTGTCTTGGTTAATTGAGGATGAAAATATCAAGAGAGTGTTTTGAGTCAATTGTTTGCTCACCCTGTGAGAGTAGACGTGATTGGGTTGATCTTCTTCATCAGTGGAGTTGCCTTGCTCACACCACCGCCCACCGTCTGAAAAAACCAACCGAATTAGCTAAATTTCAGAGCAGTAAACTAAATTATATCAATTCAAATTTTTCGTTGTACGGTTCTAATTGAAAATTTTCCCTCTTCCCATATCAGCCAATCGCTATGCATGCATTGTTTTAAAGTTAAATTTGGTGATTAAATATTTCTTGGTGAATTTTACTTATTTTATCAAAAACTAAATACAGACGCGAAATGGAGCTTTACAAACCTAGATCTACCAAAAAGCTAGAAAGTTTTTCTCTATTTGTCAAATATGAATTTCAGTTTGAGAAACAATTGCAATAGAACAATTTAATGTTCAATTAGGATGGGAAAAAAACTTACGAAGCACGAGCGAAGCCGAATATACTAAAGCAAACACCCGTCGAGCTGACAACATTGTGTTCATAAAACTCAGTAGACTTGACGAATTTTTTTAGCTCAAAATTACATGAGCAAACACATTTTACGCAGAAGCGAAGCTGCGCTTCGCAAACACTTGCGAGAAAACGACCAACAAGCAGCTCTAACAAGTGAAATAAGAAAAAGTAGAAATAAGCCTCGAATTAGCAAAAACTCGGCTACGTGTTGGATTCGAATTTGCAACCTAGCACTTGAGTCTCACGCACAAGCCACGGATGCTTAAAATCCCCAAAAGCTAGCCACCAATAACGCAGCTACATAATCTAATAAATTACCAATTCAATTCAGCAAAAGTAGCACAAATACAAAAAGACACAATTTTGCATGTAATAAATTGGAAAGGGTAAAGCCAAATTATGAATAAATAATGCATTTCAAAAAAGCTGCGAGATTCAAAGAAATTCATTGAGTTGAAAATTTTCTGAAATCGAGCTTTTTATCATTATACTGCTGTTTGAAACAAATTGCTTTTTTTTGGTTCATTTTTAAAGAATTAGAAATGCATCAGCTGTGTTAACTGTTTACTAATCAAATGTCAGAGCACATATGATATTATACTGCTACCGCAGCCTACTGATTCAAAAGCGCCACCAAAAGTAGCTTTTTATTTGCGACTTAGGTTGGAAAAAAGCAAGTTCGTACTAATACACTTTAATTCGTAAGTGTAATTATCAAGTGCACTCATAAATGCATTTATATGTATGAATGCACTTCGGTAGTTATTACAGCATTTTAAGACTTTATCCTGAAAAAATACGAAAACAATATAAAGACCTATATAAGTGAAAATCTCTCCTGTCTTCAATCTCTCCCTATAAGTGCCTTCACTACGTTCAGTGACACCTATATATATTCTCTTATACTTAGGTTGAATACATGCTCTTTCCATTCATAACCCATTTAAAATTATAATTTACCTTGGACAATGGAGAAACGAGTAAATTTAAACCCATTTAAAATTACCTTGGACAGTGGAGAAGGCATGAAACGGGAATTATTCATGAAGTTCACTCTTGTTGCGTTGTGTGCATTTGACGTGTTATGATTGTCTGCAAACTGTTTATGATGAAAAGACGTTACAATTTTTGAGCCTCCAACCGGCGGTGGCTTCGCTTGAAAATTTGCCGCAATTAAGTTCGTTTGCGAAGATGTCACTAGCGGGCTTGAAAATTGACTGTAGTTCCCTTTACACGAAGTTTTAGCCGAATAAATTTCGCAATTGCTTTCTTCACTTTCATCTTCATCTTCTTCGATACAAGCTTTCAACACATTATTTTTCTTCATTATGTTCGGGATGAAGGGCGAGACAGGAAACTTCCGTTTCGGTGTGTCATCCCGCGACAACGAGTTTAGTATTGTTCCGCCGATAACTTCGCCAGTCTCGTTAAAACCATTACTTGTAATGTCGGATTGGTGCATTGATGAGACAGGTCTGAAGATTCCCGATCGCTTCATGTCTCCGTGCTCAGCGAAACATTCGCGACTTGGTTCTCGGAAAGTCACTTGACTATGCTTTGTCTTCCCCGTGACAAAAGTCTTTTGAGCATCTGCATCTTCAGTCAAACGATTCACAGTTTTGTTGACATTAAATGTCGCATTACTTTCGACCAAAGGTGTTTTAGATCTCAGTGATCTAACAATTGGTGATTCTACGTTTTCTTCTTGCGGTTTTTGGACTTCAGGGGTTTCTGTTTTGTCGGTTTTCAAGTCCGAGGCACTTTTCACTATAATTTTCGAGAAAAATTTATCTTGTTTTGTAAGTAGAGGCTTCAAAACCTGTTGGTAGCGGTCACCCCATTGCCCCATATCATTCGAGGCTTTCTGTGAACTTTCTGGGTGGCTGTTCTCATCAGTGTGAGAATGAATGGATGATGACTTTTTGCTCTTCTTTCTTTTCGGTTTGTTGCTTTTCGTAGTCGTTCCGCTCGACTTGACTGTCTCTAGTGTAATCACAGGCGTTTCATCCATTGCTTCTTCATTTGAGTCCACATCTTAAAAAAATTCCCAAATAAATTATCGCGAATGAGCCAAAAATTTGTTTGAAAAAACATAGCCAAAAGACAGACAGTTGGAAAAAAGTCGTTGAACGCAAGCTTTTTTTTGAAAAAATCCGCTGGGGATACTCGAAAAATTTAATCATTTTGGACTAAAGTCGAGCTATTTTTTTTATTTGCCTTAGTGTAAATGACCTGGTTTTTTACCCATTTTCGTTAAATCTTCAGCGTGATTGTTGCTACAAAGATAAAACATGATCATGTAAATGCACATAGCAAACGGAAAAAGAGGTAAAGAGTCAATGAACGCAGGGAAAAAAAAACAGACTTGTTTTTCGAAAAATGTGAACTTTTCAATTCCAAAAAAGATTACCTTAAAGCTCTTTGAATTTTGATATAACCTAATTTGAGAAAATTGGATCAACAGGTAATTTTTTAAATTCCACAGGGAAATCTGAAAATTAAAGTCCAATTAAATCACCTTTTTGCTGTTCGACAGCGGAGTTTGCCTTAATTTCAACAAAGGAAATGAACTGAACTTAGAAAGAAATCAAAAGTCAAACCGCAAAAAAAAACTAAATTTGAGCGCGAACTTATTTGATCTTAAGACTTTCCTTCAAAATTTTTTAAAAATCATCACGATCTATATAAGAGTCTTCACTACGTTCATCGAATCTTAAAAATTCCAAGCCTTTTTTCAAATTATCTGAGCCATTTGATAGTGGAAAGGAAATAAGCTGCAAAACAAGACGATTCAACGACAAAAAAATGTTTCATTTGAAGATTATTTATTGGTCTTTCAGCTTAGCGGTTGCTTAAATCAAAACTCTTACCTTGCTGTGCAACATTGGACGTCTTTGATTTTGATTTGACTCTATTCGAATTTCTGACTGATCTGCTCTTCATGTTGCGCGTCTTCAGTCTAGTCTCTGATACAACCTCCTCAGAAGCAGCAGCAACATCCTCCCCTATTTCTGACCGCTGCTTTTTGCTGGATATTTTGTGTAATTGCTGTTTCTTGGCACTTGCTTCTCGATCCCCTGGAAGATTCACTATTATGATAGATCTTCGCAATAACGCCGTTTTTGGACACCTCGTTCAGTGAAGCTTTACCCGATGAAAAAAAAAACATTTTTATAATTGAACTGCTTAGTTGTCAATTAGTGATACGAGAATATATAAATTCTTAACCAATCTTATCCCATCTGATTCTATCTTGATAGTATGAATTGAACACATAGCACTGAAAATCAATTAACTACAACTGAACGTCGAGTACCATTTCATTTTTCCTATCGGAGAACGAACAATTTGAAGGCCGAACAGACAAAGTACAGAAAATGAGCTTGCAAAAAAAACGCCGAGATAAAAAAACTCTTAAAACAAAATGTCAAAATTCCTTATGATCACAAAAGCTTTTAATCAACAGACGGACCTGAACTGTCTGATCTGTCCTTCAGCGACGCCCTGTCCCTCTTTGCCCCCGACCCACTTCTGAGACACTGATCGCCTCCTCTCTTACTCTTCTTTTTCTTCTCTTGACCTTCTACATCAATTTCCTTCTCTTCATTCTCCCCATCTTCATCATTTTCTACTATTATAGTTTCTGTTTTCTGTTCAGACGACGATGCTTCTTTGGAAGTTGGCGTTCCCTTACTAGCAAAAAAACAAAAGCTAAATTGTCAATATTATTATATAATTTAGAGTAGGAAAATGCACAACGCTGAACTGATTGAAAAAAAATAAACGCGAAAACGAATTAACGCTAACTAATTTTGGAAAAAAAAACTTGTTTTTTTTTTCAAAGAAAAAGGAGGAATTTTGAATTCGGGTTTGTTTTAGTTTTTTGTTTTCCATGCAAAATCAGCTACCACAAATAATATTCAGAGTGAGTTGAGTGATACATCATATTAACGCCCTTTTAGTCGTGGTTCGAACATTTGAAAATTTCCAAAAAAACTTCCCAGTGTCGAGAGAAACCGGTTTAAAACTTTTGAGTTTTCGAGCGAGTAAAGCGGCTAACAATAGCATATTTTACACAGATGCGAAGCGTACATAGCAAGCAACTGAATGATCAGTGAGATAACAATAACTAACTGGAAAAAATGAAAAAAACTGGAAATACGAAAGATTCGATCACAGAAAAACATACGAGAAAAAAAACCACTAGCATTAAGAAAGCTTTAAGTACCTTTCGAGCGTCCAATAAAACAACAACACGTGGTAAGATGTCAGTTGGTCCGAAAACAAAAATACCAAAGGAAATGGTTGTCATAAAAAAAATTTTCAGCGATGGAAAAGTTTAACTTTTAACTTTTATACTACCAGCTGACATGATTTTTTAAAAGTTGAACAATCACTTTTTCTCCTTATACCGATGCAAAACTAATTCACTAAAATGACAAAACAAGAACCAAAATCAGTAAGGCCGAAAAAAATTCGAAGCGAAATAAACCCAAGAAAAACGGGAAATATACCAGTCAGGTATAGTAATTTTAAAAAATTAAAGGACTTAATCAACGACACTTGAAAGTACAACTAAAACTGATTACAGCCCAAAAAAATTGCGTGGTGGCAAGTAAGCCGACAAAACATAAGCCGACAAACTATAATCCGATTGCTCTTTTTTCCCGGAAAACAATTTCATTTCAGACACTGAAAAAAAACAAGATCCTGCCGGGACTCGGACCTCTGACATTATTTTTGGCAACTGCATTTCCTCCAGACCACATACGATGGGGCATAAAAATTGCTACGGTTCGCTAATAAAGAAACATCAATTTCAATTACAAACGTGTAAGAAATTTATTTACCAGAAAAAAGTCTAGTTCCAGATTACAAGACACCTGCTCTAAGCGAATGTAAGAATTACAAATTACATCATAAAATCAAAAACTACTTTAAATTACGATTAAAAAAACTATACAACACAAGAAAGGTAAAAAAGGGCAACAAAGCCGACAAAACATAAGCAGTCAACTAGTAGACGGTCATTTTTTGATACTTAAAAATTTAGTTAAAAAAAAACAGGAGCTGACAGGATTCGAGTGTAGTCCCTTAGCATGTCATCAAAATTTTCTACGCAAGAAATTATTTTTTCAAGAAATTGAACGTATATTTTGCAGAATTGAATGCTGCACATTTGATTCAGTGATTTTGTTAAACTAGTAGTTAACCCGAAAACTAAAAAGTCTATATTCCGATTTCATAACGGTTGTTAATCACAAGCGTAAATAACTTAGAAGCTTGCGATAGCAGAAAGTCTTTTCTGCTTCGAAATCACTTCCAGCTAATTGAAACTTGTTTATCAACAAAATGGCTACCGACTTTTACAATTGGCTAGAAAAAATGAAAACGAAATGCAGCTGTTCCCGACAATTCATCGAAAAATTATACAAATGCGCAAAATTCATGTACCTGCTACAAAAATTGAATGATAAATGTAACCGGTCACTGAAAAAAGTATAACCACGATGGCTGGGCAAAAGAAAAAAACAATCAACCAAAAAACATTGTCAAGGAAATAGAAAAAAATATTGACTTGTTTTTTTTGAAAAAATCCTTAAGTTTCCAAGAAAGAAACTGATGGCCTCAAAGCTCTTTGAATTTCTAGAAAAATGATGACCGACACTTTTTTTGATAAAATTAGCCTAATGAGAAAACTGGAGCAAAATGTAGCTTTCATTGGGATATCTGAAAATTAATATTTATTTTCCAAACTAGAAGTAGATCACAATTTACGTGACAATTGCTGTTCAATAGAAGAGTTTTCCTTCCTTTTAACAAAAAAAATGAACTGATATTTAAAAAATCAAAACTCAAATCGCCAAAAAAAACAAATTTTGGCGTTAACCAGCTTTTTTCTGAAAAAGAAAACAGCAAGAAAAACCACCAAGACCTATATCAGAGTATTCACCACGTTCATGGCTATTGAAGCTTTTAGACTTTCAAGAATTGTTCATGATAGGTACTTTTTAGGAGAATTAGAGCAGCAATAATTTCAATTTCGTGAGACGAGCTTAAAAAATTCAATAAACAGCTTGAAGAAAAAACAAGCAACGACCAAAGACAAAGTTTGACATTTCTATTTTTACCATTCTATGAATAAGTTATTTACGGGAGAAAAGTCTAGCATCCGGTTGTTATACCCTTGCTTTTGCAAGGAGGATAATATTTCAAAACGAAAAAGCGTTTTTAGGAGTCTTTTCGCATTTTTATTGATGTCAGGACAGAATACCATGTCATAAGATACCAGGGTTAAAAATACCACTGCAAACTATTTTTTTACAAAAAAAACGTGTTACAAGATCCCATAATTAAGAACCGAAGATATTATCAAAGAACGCACAAAAACGCGTACCGAAATAAGATGATTTATTCATTTGATGTAATGTATTTAGCAAATAGGTTGCCACCATTATTAAATATATACACAGAGACAAAGGTGAATTTGACAGCTATTGTGATACACCACTAACATAGCATGGCAAGCTAGAAAAATGTTTTAAAAAGGCCACCGAATAGCTATATCTATCAAAGCGTTCATATCAAAAAGACATTCGGAAGAAAACATGCCGAGAAAAACAAATGTGTGCATTACAACAGAAGTAAAACTGCAAATTCGCAAACAGAAGCAAAAAAAACGGCAAATGAAACTAAAGGAGTAAAAAAAAACGGCAAATGAAACTAAAGGAGTCAAAAAATGAAAAAACGGAAAAGGATAAAACTAATAAAAATCCTGTTATGTGCCGTAATCAAAACCCTGACCTGGATATTAAGAGTCACCCGTCCTAGCATCTGCGCCATGTTCACATAGCAACTTTCAGACACTAGCCACCAATAAACTAGATACAAAGATATAATGCTATGCAGCAAAAGTAAACCAGATATAATGTTATAATAAAATGAAAGCACCCTTTTAATTGAGACTTGGGTTAAAAACAAGGTGATAATGAAAGATGACACTAAGCTTTGCTTGTGCAATTACCAATGCAATAAAAGTTACGAAGCGGTACTTAAGCCGACAAAGTTGGGCAATAAAACATTTTTAGTGATTATCTTTTGTCACGACAAAAGTTTTTGCGCTTCACACGACGTAATATGAGCGAAAAAACCGATACAACCTTTAGGCCGAAACAGCCAGACGAAAATATTTAGGTAGAATCACTTTCTAGATAAAAAAAACGTCAAACAAAGTAAGACTAATTTGGAGTTGTTTTTACCTAGAATAAGTGTCACACTGGCCGGATTTTGTGAAGGCCAACTAGCTCAAAACATATCTGTGTGTGTAGAAAGATCTGATTAGTCGAGAAACTGTGAAACTTAATGTGAAAAGAGGTCTATTACAGGGTTGCAATACCCTTCTTTATCGTCTTTTAATAAAAAGCCTTGCAATGCACCAATATACGTCACTGTATAAGCACAGGCACTCACAACTTTAAGCACTTTATTCATTATTCCGAAATTTAATCGACCGAGCTTCAGTCAAAACTCAAGAAGACAAAAAGAATTAGCAAAAAACATAGCCAACAGACAGTTGGAAAAGATTCATGAACGCATAGAAACAAAAAAAAATTAACCACTTTTATGAAACTCTCGAATTTCGAAGAAAAACAACTATGGCTTTAGATCTCTTTGATTTTCAAGAACAAATTATGATTGCAACATTTAAAATAAAATCAAACGAATTTGAGCGAACTAGATCACTAGATAAAATTGTATTCGCTCGGAAATCTGAAAATTAAATTCCACTTTCGAAACTAGAAGTCAATCACACTTTTCGTGACCTTTTTACTTTTGCTGTTCGATAGTTAAGTTTGCCTTCCTTTTAACAAAGGACTTAATTGAACTAAAAAAAAAGAAATCGGAAGTCAAACCGCGAAAAATAAAATATCAGCTGAGCGAATTTTAAGACTTTTTTCTGAAAAAAATCACTAAGACCAATTTGAGAGTATTCACTACGTTCATGGCTCTTGTTAATATCAAAGGTCTTCGTTATACGAACAATGGTTAGATCCTTAGATAACACATTTTGGAGGATTGATCTTGCGCAATTAAAAAACTGAACTTATATAAAATCATATCGTTTGAATTGCTCAAAAGTGTTATAAAACACGCACGTAGACATTATCGCTTCATCAAATAATATCGTTTCACATACCCTTGCCTGTTAGATGTATTTTGTTTTGCTTTCTTCACCGTCACAATGACTTCTGCTTCCTCCGTAGAGACATCAAGTGTGTCTTCGTCAATTTCGATCACAGAAGTTTCTGCCTTCATCAGTGTAGATCCCTTCCGCCCTTTCGAATCTAACAAAGAAGACAATTTAGATCTCATTTCATTCTATAACTTTTTTGATATTTATGAACTATGAAAAATGAGTTACTTTCGGACCTTTTTTTATGTTTTTGCGAAATTTACGAAATGGCATTTGAATGGTTCTGCTTTTAAAACAAAACTAAAATATACAAGGATAGCCGGTTGCTGTTCAAGTAGCACAGAATGCTCCGACTATAATCATAAAACTGCAAATAAAAGTTCTTCAAATTAGTAAGTTCTTGAAAATGCCACCCAGTCCGATGATTATTTGTGGCACTTGATTTTGAGTCGAAACAAAGAAAAAAACTAAAACACACCCAAATACAAAAATACTCCCCGTTTTCAATTGCCGGAGCAATAAATAAAATTCAGTCATTGCTACTTAGACTGTCACAAAAATATATTTCCACGAACAGGTTGATTACCAAATCAAAAAAGCTGCCAGGAAAATGGCTTTAACAGTAAACGAGTACTCACAGTTCCGTATTCTTAAGCTGGCGTTTGACGCCGCCTGCCTCGTTGGTCTCCCACCTCTGTTTGTGGCCTTCGGACTTTTCTTACTCACTTTTCCCGCACTACCTTGCACCTTTTTGATATTACGCGTGGAACCCTTCGGAGGCTTCTTGCTCTTCTTGGAAGCTACAACAGAAATTATCCATCAAGAACGCTTTTAAAAGTACCCTGGTACCATGACATTAAATGTTCAAAGAGAAGAAAAACGATTAGTGAAATATAAAATAACTTTGTGCTTCTTCAAAAGTCAGACTTAGGGAGCCGTCAAAATGTATGAATACTTTCCACACTTAATCTTTTAGCTTTATTTATGACAATTGTTTTGATTATCGCCTGTTTTACCTCCTGTGAATTAAGATCGATTCCTCAACCAAACTTTGGTCTCGTGTTGGAATATTTTTGGGATAAATCTGCGACTCACATGATACTGCAGAGAAAGGCATGTTTAGTTGAGACCCTTCAACTTCAGCTGAAACTCGCTTTCTACCTCCTGCTTTCACGTGGGATCCAATCGGTGGAACCGGAGGCTTCTTACTCTTTTGTGACTCCACCGTACTTACTTCTCCCTTAGAAGCCGTGGATTTCAAGGGTTGGGTGTTTTTTCTGGCATCTGTTTCTGAAGTAGGTGTTGTTGGCTCTAACTCAGTTAGGGTGCAGTCCAAAGTTTCATCTTCTTCGTCGCTGACTGATTCCGCCGAATTTCTACGTAAATACAGCAAATACTATACCAAATTAAAACCAATTATTTGTTTTTTTAAGTTGCTCAGTTTTAATTTGATAATCATGTCGTTACTCCAACTAACACAACGCATTCCAGCAAGGATGATTTTCGGTCACAAAATCTAAACAACATGATTTGGTACTTTTGTAGCAAAATTTTGGACGTTATAGATCTTTGAAAGGACTCAATAAACCATTGATAATATATTTCGATAACTCATAATAAGTTATCAGCAGTACACAATATTAAAGCTTAAGTATCAGATATCAACTTCTTGTACCAAAGAACGAAGCAAAAAGATACAATTGACTAACTTTAGAACTCTTTCGACACATGTGTCTCTGAGTTCCGTGATTTCTTTAATGTGCTCGTCAAACTTCCTTTTCAGCCGCATCACTTCTTCATGGGCAAAATCTAGGAGGTCCTTGTCAACGAATGAGAACCTCCCTGCCTCCACTTCTGTATTCTGTCCTACTAGAACATTTTGTTCATGTTGCTTCTTTTTGGTTTCCTGTTTTTTACTTACCTGTTTTGTCTTAGCCATCAAACCTCTGAAAAAAATCATTTTAAATCCTTTAAACGATTCTTTTCAGCAGCAACTGAGAAATTCGAGAAAACCATTCAGAAGTGAGAAACAAAATAGGGAACAAGAAAAAAGCAAAGTTTCACAGCTGCAAAAACTCAGTTAATCCGAACATGGACTAAAAGTTGTAACTTATTGTTTGTTTATCTCAAAACTATCGCCAAAAAATTTGAATAGTTGCTTTTATTATACCAACCAAGCGGTTAACAGCACTTGCTGGCGTCTTTCATTTTTACTTCAGAATACCACGCATGTTTTACTATAAGCTATCACAGTTGATTAAAACTGAGATCATGTTTTGAGTTGTTCGTGGCTATTCTAAAAGCTAAAATGTTTTTCGTATCGAGAATAAACCAGAACCTTGCCTCAAACGAGGAAAAACCGAGCAGCGAATCTAGATTGAAGATAACTCATATTGAATATGCTTCCTATTATCCGCAATTTAACCAGCAAATTGAATCTCTGTTAGCTGATGAAAACCTCGACACCTCTATATTCACCGATTTATTTAATCATAACTCGAGGCATCATCATCATCACAGCACTCAGAAGAAAGAAAAACGACCTGAAACTGAAACGAAACAGGAACTTAACCGAAAGTTATTTGATGCAGTGGCAAATAATAAATTAAACGAACTTGAACAACTTCTGATTCGTCACAAGCGAAGAGACTTCAACGTCAACTCTACTCTGATTGGCGGGTTACGAGCAATTCATATTGCAGCTCAACTGGGATTGGACGATGCTTTGGATGTTCTGAAGGTGAATGGCGCAGCTTTCGTGACAGAGAAATCTCAGGTGCATCCGATATTTGTGGCAGCTGCTCATGGTCAAGTCATGGTAAAGATAACTTCAAATTAATCGTCGAAAATACACTTGGCAAAAAAAGTTCAACTCCAAACCCCACGAAATTTGGATTATACTTCTAAACCGATTTCAGACATGATGGCGGGGGTTAACTTTGGAGATTGTTTTTTTTTCGGTAACATGACAAAAGATCCCCTACGCTAACACCCCAGACGATAAGATAACAGCCGACAAGATCCTAGTCTAAAAGATACCAGGCGTCAACATCACCCACAACAAAAGAAATAATAAAATAACAAATTTGACATGGTATCTTTTGACATGACAGTTTTTTCAACTGCTTAGTTTTTAGTCGAATAAAACCAATTAGAAAATAATTGTCAATTTGAAGGACGTAGGAGCCAGCAACCGGGTTCGAACTCTGACTGTGATGCTAATTTAGGAAACATTTTTAGACTGTCCACAAATTATTGCGAGACTACAACGTAGACATCAACTTGCAAGGCCAAAAACAGGAGACACTGTTACACATTGCTGTGAAAAGAGGCGACAAATTATTGACGGATTCGCTTCTAAAAGCAGGCGCCAACCCTGACTACTGTGACGAGGAGGGGATGACCCCTATTGCACTTGCGACTCTCTTGGGAAATATTGAAGCTTTTCGCGCTCTCAAAGACCACGGCGCATGTCTGGGAATCCGAACATTCAAGGGACAATACATCTTTCACTTTATGGCTATGCACGGCAGCTTTTACCAAGAACTGAAAAAGTACAGGACGTTTTTTACTGTTTCTGACGACAGAGATTGTACGTGTTTGCATTTCGCCATAGTAGCAGGGAACTTAAAAGCTGTAAAGCAGATCTTGAAACACGGAACTCATCAACTGGATCTACTAACTGCTGATAGACATACTGCAGTCACGCTAGCATGCGCCTCTGCTCAATCTAAAATTCTAGATTTCCTACTGACGAAGTACTACAAGTCAGGGAGACAGTTGCAAAAATACGAAACTCCCATGAAAGATGTCTTGACTCCTACACATGTGGTTGCCGAGTTTGGAGACCTTGAAACACTTTTGGTTCTCGATAAACATGGCAAACTAGAGGTCGATAAACCAACAGCGAAAAGAAACTTCACCCCTCTTCATTTGAGTTGTATAAGCGCGAATGCTGAAATAACAGACTACTTAATTGACAAAGGCAGTGCTATAAAAGTACTAGACAGCAAGGTTTGGTATCCAGTACATTACGCAATTCAAAACAAAATGATTGACTCCTGCAAAAAGATGCTGCCGCACTTTACAGCTGATGATTTCAGAACGGGAACCACACCTCTGCATTTAGCCAGCAAAACGGGACATTTAGAACTCGTAAACATTTTACTCAAAAACGGGCACGACCCCACAGTTCTCGACAAACTGGGGTACTCTGCTCTGCATTATGCTTCAGCCAGGGGCTTTGTCGATGTTCTTCAGGCGCTGATAAAAAGTAATGCAAGGGTACATAGGACGTCGGCGTTCCACGAGACTCCGCTATTTCTCGCATGCATAAACGGGCGGCCAGACGCGGCTCTGAAATTGAAAGAAGCAGGTGCTAATATTAATATTCCCAATCAGGAAGGGAAGAAAGCGTTCCACGAAGCGTGTTTGAGAGGCCACGTGGATGTAGTTGAAGTCATTCTTGGAGTTCCTCGAATGAAGTTTGACATCAACGGACTCTGTGTTCACGGATTAGCTCCCCTCCACGTTGCCTGCGCAAATAATCAACACACTATAGCAGGTGAGACAGCAAAAAAAACTTCACCACAGGAATTGCACGGGGGGTTAGGAAATTAGGCAACAAGCAAATTGGCCGACCCGAGAGTAACTGAATTAAGACAATAACTTGCGTGCAATTTGCGTGAAAATTGTTTACTAAATTGACATCTAATTTGCTTGTCGTGTAATTCTCATTCTCATTTCACAATTCTCATATCCTCACTCAATATCACTCAGAAGAACAAGGCAAATCCACAAGAAGAAGAAAAATTTATTTCGCTTGTCATTTATAATACAATTTCATCCAAGAATTCAGCATTTTTTTTTTACAAAAGTATAATCATTTGAGTTAATGCGGCAACAACTGTGAAAAAGCGCGGATAGGCAAAGGGTTTGATAACCCACTAAACGCGTACCTAAAGAACGAACATTCTGATCTACTCTATTAAAAGAAAAATAAAATATAGATTGAAATAAAAATATATATTTAAATATTACAAAAAAAAACATATCGCATCTGTCAAAAATTCGACCATTCTTGCCGCTACAAAATCGGGCAAGAATAACGCTCCCTTTATGAGAAATTCAAGAAATCTGACGATGTCCTATTGATGCAAAATTGAGCAACCCAGATCTGAAATCCCATACTCAGGCTTGAAGAGTCATACGACTATTTTTCCGAAGACAATGCCTCATCTTTTGAAAAAAAAAAACAGATCCAGACCACCCTCTTCAGCGCAGTCATAATTATAATCAATGTCCCTGTCCATTCGCATGACAGACCAAAAGCCCATTGCATCCCTATACTTAGGCTCAACAGTCATAAGACAATTAAGCTTATTTTCTGTAAAATGGTGACACCACCTGCCACGCAATAGGACACATCAGCTGGCACTAACGTAAAACAGAATCTGAGCAGCTATTAAACACAGACACATCAGCTGGTACAAACGTTAAAACAGGCTCTGAACAGCTATTCAAACAACCTTGTCAAGGCAAACAAATTGAGAACATCTGGAAAATCTTAACATTAATCTGAAAAAGGATTCAAAAAAACTAATCTTATAAGTTCAAAAAAAGCTGAAGCATCTTGCGGCGCAAAAGTGAAATATTTGAACCGCAAAATTTAGGCGTAGCCGCTACAGTAAGTGAGATTTCCACAACTCATAAGAAAATTCAAAAAATTTAAAAAAAAAAACGGTCAAAAATCAAATATTTACCTTTTCTGCGGGCCATAAATTTGATCGGAAAAAATATCGGCATAGCTGCGTTTGTAGATTAACTTCACACAACCTATTGTTTCGATTAAAGCCAAAATCTCAATATTGGTGGGTAGTTTTAAAGCAAAGTCAAACACGATCAAAATCAAACGGTTTCAAAAAACGGTCATGAAATCAAAAATGACTATTCCGAGGAAGATCACTGATTGTGAAAAAATGAGCGTAATCGCTTATACAGGCGAGCTTCTTGAACCCAAATTCTCAGATTTGAGAGGATAGTTTTCGAGAAAATCAAAAAATCCAAAAAAATGGGTCGAAAATTCTCCAGCGGACTTTTTCAAAAGCTGCAGAAAGTTTGCTAAGGTAAAAAGTGACTAAGCTTATAGAGAGTTGCAAAAAGTTCGGACAGACAGAATTAATTAAAAAGATTAACTATCTAGACATCAACGGAAATTAAAACTGAAATAAACATAACATCAAAAGTTCATAAAGCAGAGTTACGGGATCTACTTATCAATCCCCCTTTTCAGAAAGGGGAGGAGATCGTTAATAAGATTACTTGCCCCGAACTTTCGACCAATCAAAATGCAGCAAAATTCGAACTTACATACAATGCTCTAGTGCGAATTAACTGTTTTTATTTACAGGGGTGGAGATTCTGTAATAGATACAATAGGAGGGGGGATTGTTAAGTAGATCCGAGTTTCGCTCAAAACCTATCACCACAGTCGAAATGTTTTATAGTAATAACTGAATGTTCATCGCAGTACTTAAAAATTAGGCTAGCATAATCATCGGATAATCGACAATCTCGCATTTTGAATTTGGTCAGACTAAAAATTCATGGTTGTTCGGCTTCAGATTTTGCATGCAAAAAAGCGTCGAAAAGGACTGATTGCTCATTTTAATTAATTCTGTCTGTCCGAACTTTTTGCTACTAATTATACATGAAGTCACACATGGGAGCAGGCGGTCTTTCTATTTAAACCACTTTTTTTTGGAAATCAATAAGTCGTTTTTGAGAAAAACTTATTTTTTTGCGAACAGGAAAAAAATTTTCAAAGCGTCTCAAAAGAACTAAATCCCAAACATTTTCAGTATACCTATTTATATCAAACAGGAACAGGGATTAGTAGCAACAAAAAAAAACATCTCATTTCATGTAATAAAATTATTTACAGGGATTTTAATACGAGAAGGAGCAAATATCGATGTGAAGGATACGAGAGGCATGACACCGATTCATCACGCAGCCCTACATGGCAGTTTTAAAATAGTCGAATCTTTAGTTCAGCTTGGAGCCAAACGCAGATTGAAGGACGACAACGACATGCGTCCTATAGATCACGCAATCAAACACAGACACGAAGATATTGTGCAATATCTGAATTCATTGCGACAGAAAGCCCATGATGAATTACCCGATGTTCGAACTGATGACAAACAGAAAAAGCCGATAAAAAAGAAACTTCTAGTCGATCGAAAAGCAATGTCAACAAATAGTTTTGTTTCTGATACTTCAAGCATTTCATAAAAAAATTCTGAACGATAACCGTAGATAAGAACAAGCGACGAGTCAAAGATTGGCCGGGTACTCGTTTAGAAGTATCGTCCCATTATAAATCTCGTTTAGAAGTCTGATCCCGTTAAAATACGTATGGTCCCACATAAAAGCCAGATAAAAAGATTTTCAGTCAATTTCTCAGTTTCCTTAATTGTTTCGGCCACGAAAAAATTTTCGCCTGATTGTCATCGGGATTTTCTTTCCTTAGCTTTTTTTATTAGTCAGAAGGTCAAAAATTTTCATTACTAGTCCACCATAACACCCAATAAAAAAGCATTGGAATTTCAGTAATTCGAGAAAAGTAGACTTGAACGTGAATATATGTACAGAATAAAACGAGTTAAAAGCAACTCAAACAGATTGAACTGATATGGGGCTACGGCTCTTTGGTTCTACAATTAGTGAGTAGTTTTATCCTGAATTGCTAGGGAGATTTTTTTCTTAAGAAAACTACTTGCCCTGGGTTCCTCGGTACATATGGTCAGGTTCTTACAGATTACTGAAAACAATCTGTGCTAGGGCAGGCGGAATCCTCAACTTCAAAAGCTGTAGAATGAAACATATACCACTTATACCATATTCCAATTGCTGCTTTCAGTAGTAACTTTATGTACAAATTATTCACATCAACAACAGCAACAACAAAACTTTTATTTATGTCGGATAATACATCCAACACATATTTACAAATTTACATCGCGGGCATTCTCGTCAGTATCCAATAACTTAATCCATGGGGGACCGATCGTTAAGCAGACAAATCTTTTAGCATAAAAAGTGAAAAAATGAGTCTTTTAGCAGACAAACGTAATAAAGTGATGAATGATTGATTGACAGACTCAAAAATACGCTCAGTTTGGGGCCAAGTTTCCCCAATTAAAACAATTATCTCGCAATTTGTCAAAAAAACTATCAACTTCAAAAGCACAACAGTCTAAATTAGCGGCAAAACAAAGGTTAACGCGCACAATAACACACGGGTTGAATTGAAGCGCAGCGGAACAAGCGGTCGCTAATCGCCAATAACGCATTTGAGGATAGCTATCACCCTTTATAATTTTCCTGTCTCTGCTAATAAACCTACCGTCTCTTATTTTTTTTATTTCTGTTTTTATCTCTTTTAAAAGGTAATCAGAAGGTCAAAAGTATCATAGTAACCGAGGTTACAGTCAGGAGTCCCTTCATCCCGCATTCCAGTCAAAATCCTTGGAATTTTCTAGATATGGAAGTGATAATGATGACAAGTGTTTAAGTCCTTTTCATTTAAAACGATACGGGTTAGGTTTCTTCAATAAGAAAACGCAACTCGACACGAGAAAATATAAAATACAAGTGTTACAAATAAAAAAATTTCGTCGAAAGTTATTTTGTCATTTGTTGTTCCGAGTACGCAAGCGGCGTTCGCAATCTGTATTGCCAGGGAGATTCTCTGTTCTAAAAAGCTGCCTGCTCTGGGTTCCTCAGTGCATATTCTTAGGTTCTTACAAAGCTTGCTCAAAAAAATATCTGTGCTGGGGCCGGCCGCGCCCTGAATCTCAAAAGCTAGCGGTTGAAAAAGATATCCATCAACTACAAGATCTTTTAGCTTCTTGTCATGTCCTGAATTGAATTTAATTAACATCCGATTTCATTCTACTAAGTTGAGAAGCTAGATTTTTATCTACTGAACAAAAACAATAATAATTCAATAAATAGTAGTAGCCCTGTTTTTAGGAGTGACCTCTTGGTCTGGAGATACTGAGACCCAGCCATGAGCTCACTATTTCTGCATGTAATTAAGTTAATTTGAGTGTTTTGACCGAAGCCGAAAGCAGTAACGTTTTTTGTCGACCCGATGTTAGAAAGACCACCGAAAGTACTGGCTTGGTAGAGACGGTGAAAAGCATACAACGCTCTGTTTAGACGTTAGCCGGTCGTCTTAGGACTTAGTTTTGTTCTCCGTCGATATGTATCTTCCGGGCGAATGTTACATAGATGTTTTTATGGCGCTCCTGGGTGTTATTCTTTTTTAACATCATGACCGGCAGAACCGTTAACGAGCACTCCGCGCCGAGCGGATGCTCACATTAACGCCCTTAACAGGCCTAAACCGCCGGGGCGGAAGGGTAGTTCGGAACGCGGAAGCCTTCCGGATTACCGTTGTGCCAGTCGGTCATGTCTGGAGGTTTGACCTTGAGAAACACGTAATTTTGGAGTGAAGTTTTAATTTTAAAACTTTCGAATGGAGCCTGTCATGCTCAGTTTTCTCGAACCAACTGAAAACGCAAAATCAAAATCAGAACGACCGAATTAACAATTGCGGGAAACTACTCAAGAAAAAGGCAGGAAATTGCTATTCGCAATTTCTCGATACGAAATAATCAGAGAGTAGAGCTGTCTTATCCTGAAAACAGGAGAATAGAATACAGACTTGAGAAAGGACGACTATTCGAACGGAAAGGAGTGAACATTCAATGGAAGAGTGGACAACTCGAGTGTCCCAATGGTTCATTCAGAAACTTTGATTCTTGAGACAGAACTTACTTCTGTGGTTAAAACTAATTAGCATCAAACTTATTTAGTTATATTATTTGATTCTCGAGCTGCTTATCTTTTAATTACTCCTCATACTCAAGTGCATCGACATGTGAGTTCTCAATTTAAATTTCTCGAGTGTATTTTATGATAGTTATGTTGAGATAAGGCGAGTTTTAGGTTGATCCATCTGAAATGGATCAAAGTTCCACTGTCCAATAAAAAGTAACTAAGCGGATTGTTCCGACCCGGTTTTTAACGGCGTTCATGTATTTTGGGTATTTCGAGACTTAAGTATGGGGACGTTTTTATTTCTAGAGTGGGGGGGTATTTTGGTAGTGGCCTTTAAGCTGTAACGGGTTCCAGTCTCATGTCGCAAGCGAACCGAATTGGCTCCGACCGTTCTTGAGGTAGAAAAACACAAGAGATAGTGTCCCTGACTCTTGAGCCAATGGTTATAGGGCCTATTTTTCTTAAGCCTCATGTGTGACTACAGTAGACGAATGTTACATAGTGTTTTTATGGCGCTCCTGGGTGTTTTTACGACATCATGACTACGGAGTCGAACCCACTTGACACAGCTCCGGGCTACATGCCCATTCTAGAGTACCGGTGGTACGGTTCAGCGGGAACGTGTAAACCTTCCGGTTGTACCGTGATAGCTTTTTAAGAAAACTCAAGAAAACTTCCTGGTACGCTCTCCGAACGAGGCTTAGCTAACCGAGTGAAGGGGGGCAACTAGGGGGACAAAAACACGAGCAAAAAAGAATACAAATAGGAACAAAAACCATAAAACGAAAAAAGACAGTGACTTTGATACCAAATTAGTTGGATCAAACCTTGGTATTAATTAAATAGTATACACATACTGTTTTATAAGACCGATCGTTTCGATCAATCTAGCAATTTAAACCAGTGACTTCAGTAAGGTGCCCGAGTGGGGGGCGTTGTTAAGGGTTTTCAGATAGATTGCGACCCAACCGGACCACTAGGAGACTTGACTGGAAAGGGTGACCAGTCGAGTGGGAAAGTGGTTCACAAGGATCGAAACGGACCACTAGGAGACTTGATTGGAAGAGGTGACCAGTCGAGTGGGAAAAAGGTTCTGCTGTCAAGTGCAGAACAGAGACAACCAGCACAGGACCACTACAAGAGGACGCACAGGGGTGTTCTCGAGTCGAGCAACGGGTATCGTTAGAATCCACATTACATTATAGGAAATAAGTGTAAAATTGGATAAGCGGAGTCCCATTGTTTTGAGGCAGTTTTTACTCAAGCAGGCCTGGAAACAGGTCTACGGTTTTCTCTCGAGAGGTTTAGCACCCGGCGCTTAAGTGATTTTTCGGCTTAAGAGGGGGGCTAAAGAGGGGAGAGGTTAGTAGGGGGGCTGGTTAGGTTAGAGGTTGGCGGTTGTAAATTGTAAAAAGGGGGGAAATTAGAGTAACTAATTAATCGACATCGTTGATTTAGTTACATTAGCCATCAACACGCGTTGGTAATAATAGGTGGATATCCAAAATTTAACTCGAGTTAAGATTGGTACGTTGGTTGGATTGGTAGGGGGGAACGGATATAGAAAGTTTTTGTGATACCCCATAAGATCGCTAGTGGGGGAAGAAAACGCGTGGCAGTTAGGTACCAGACATTTTTTTTTCTCGACAGAAGGTCGACATTTGTCTCCTTTGAATTTTAGGTGGGTTGATTTCTCTGTTTTATTATTTTTCTTGTTTAAAATTTTTTTTTTATATATATATATTGTTGCATTTTGGTGAGGATTTGCGATTGGTTTTTATACGAACAGGTGATCACAAGATACCTGCGCACAGGTTGTGGTTTCAAGTTACTTGGAACATAGAAAAAGAGGTAATTCAAAAAGGGGGGTTAGCATTTGGCCATTAAGAGAGGGTTTTTGGTAAAATTATCACTAGAGCTTGAGTGGTGGTACAAGGTACAGTGAATCAAGAAGTCCCTAAAACGAAGAAGAAAGAGATCCGATATCCAGACATTCAGTGACGAGTCTTGGGACAGTACCAAAGAAGTCTTGGGACATTGCAGTCTGGGGACAGTCCTGGGGCAACACAGTCTTGGGACAGTGCAGCCTTGGGGCAGTCTTGGACCAGAGCAGTCTTGGTACGAAACAGTCTTGGGCCATTGGTCTTGGGACGTTGGTCTTGGGACATTAGTCTTGGGACGTTGGTCTTGGGCCATTGGTCTTGGGACGTTGGTCTTGGGACGTTGGTCTTGGGCCACTGGTCTTGGGACGTTAGTCTTGGGACGTTGGTCTTGGGCCATTGGTCTTGGGACATTAGTCTTGGGACGTTGGTCTTGGGCCATTGGTCTTGGGACATTAGTCTTGGGACGTTGGTTTTGGGCCATTGGTCTTGGGACGTTAGTCTTGGGACGTTGGTCTTGGGCCATTGGTCTTGGGACATTAGTCTTGGGCCATTGGTCTTGGGACATTAGTCTTGGGACGTTGGTCTTGGGCCATTGGTCTTGGGACGTTAGTCTTGGGACATTAGTCTTGGGCCATTGGTCTTGGGACGTTAGTCTTGGGACGTTGGTCTTGGGCCATTGGTCTTGGGACATTAGTCTTGGGACGTTAATCTTGGGACATTGGTCTCGGGACGTTAGTCTTGGGACGTTGGTCT